GGTTGTATTTATGATGTGTATATTTGAATGGGTGTGGTGTGTTGCATAAGTCCAAAATGGCCTATTGAGTATAGTCTAAAGGTTGATATAGGCTTTTAGAATTTGTGTTTGAGTTTGGACACCTTAGTTGGGTATATTTGTGAAAATGGAGTGAAATTAATATTAGATGTCCAACTTTTGTTAAAAACATGAATTTACTTGTGAAACTTATGCTATTAGCTATACTTAGGAGAAATCTCTTCGTAGACACTAAAATCACCTCAATTGGACTTCGGACTAGGATTTAGGACGCGTTAGAAGTTCATCCCCTATTTTGTCAAACTCATGTAATATGTTGCATATACGTGCTATTTTTGCAATGTTTAACTGTTTTGAGTTTTAAGTAAATGTTTTGATTCTTTCTTTAATTCTCAGGTTTTGCTCATATTTTAAACTCTGATTTGAATATACTTAAAGTATATGGGAATATTTTTAATATTGAAATCTTAAGATTTTAAAGTATAATTTGACAAACTTAGTAATCCTTATTAGGTTAAATCCCTTCTTACCAAGGATTTTGGAACTAATGGTGATTAGAGTAAGGAGATTACATGTAATATTTGTTTTATGTGATACAGGTAATAATGATGTTTATTGTTATGATTGTTTGTTTAGGGGTTGATAATTAACTATTTATTCCATGTGGTTTGCCTCCACTACCTACATAGTTGTTGGCATTTTACTTGTAGTTACCAATGTCTTTGACATTTTGGGGTGAATAGCACCAACTATTTTAAGGAGAGGAGTCATATTTTAATGGCAATGTACCTTTAACAAGGTATGACTTCAGTTTAGGCTCCAGTTAGTGATAATCAAGGAGTTGGGAGACATAAGGGTGAAGTTGGGTAATGCATCATTGTTGTTTTAATTTAATATTGATTTAGAAATTGTTACATGATTGGGAACCCTGCATTCCTTGTTTTGTGTCCTATTTGTGAAAGAGTGTGTGTGTGTGTGTGTGTGTTTGTGAATTGGTTTCAAAAAGTATGTGGGTGTAGCTTTGAATGTCTAATTGTTACTAAGATTTTTGATCTCATATGTTACTTCTTACTAATTTTTCAGGTGAACAATTAGGTGGAACTACAAGGAGGGTGCCAGAGAAGTGAGATTGGTGTTATGCCCTACATCAAAAGGACTTGGAGAGGGTCCTAAGTATATGTGTGGGTACGTTGGACACCTTACTAAATTAGCGTTTTAGGGAGAGAGTAATAGCATTGTGACCAAGTAATATCAGAGACAGATCCAGGTTTGCTAAGTTGGCATGCCTTTCCAAAAGGCCACTCGTGATAGGAATGTCATGGATTGGCCAAGGGAGCTATTACATCTCACATCAAATGGACTTAAGGAAGGTTCTGGGTATATAAATAAGTACGTCACACACCTTACCGAGTTAGCTTTTTCAGGAAAGAGTAATGGCCTTGTGACATTGGGCTCTCTTATCTCAACTTGGCACATGGTTTTCTGTTTGTTTAGTGAGTATAGCTTCTATGACCTAGGAATTGAATTATATAATTTTTATTTTGGATAAATGTTATAGGTTGTTTGACTAGAACTTTTTAATCTTTTTATTAAACTGGATGACTTTAAGCATATAGATCTAGATTATGGTTTCCATTTGGGCCGAGCTCATTTATTTTTTGTTGTTCATATTAATGGTATTGTACAAGAAAAACCATGTTTGTTTAGATTGATGAAATCTAAAAAATGTGATTGAACCTTAGGCTTGTTATGAACTATTTATTTTGCTTCAACAGCCCTAAGTCTAATGGTGGTTGTTTTTTGGGAATCTCGTTGTATTTTTGTCATGGTAAGTTTTTCAAAAAAAAAATATTTACTTATAAAAAGTGGGGGAAAGGTTTTTGTTCTTGTCAAAATATTGTGGTAACAATCAGGTTCGTTTATAGAAGCAAACTGGATTCAACATTATAGAAAAAGGAGAAGTGTTGAGTGGAAGTGATATTAACTAAAGACATGTGGCTCAAAATGCAATTTCTCTAACAAACCAAAGATGGAGGAAACATTGAACTTCTTGACAGTAGTGAAATGAGTGGCAATGGTGAAACAATGATAGAACAATGAGCTTCTTGCAAGCAAGAAAAGGTTCCCATAGTGAGGGTGAAATAAAACGAAGGAGGTGATCATAAAGGTAGTGAAAGAGGTCATGAAAGCAGACGGAGCAGAGGAAATAAGAGAGAGAGCAAAGAAACTTGCAAGTATGGCAAGGGAGGTTGTAAGGGAGGAGGGTGATGGACAACATGTGAAAAGTTGGGTCAAATGCATAGTTCTTACAATTAAACGCAAGTCTAACTTAATAATAGGGCTAAATTGCTGTCTTTTTGAAAGTTTTAAGTAAAATTGCTCTAAAAGAAAGTTCAAGATACCAAGCACCTCCACAAAAAAGTTTCAAGGCATTTTTGCCCTTTAATCCTTTAAATATATATATATATATATATATGTATATATATATATATACAATGTAACAAATTTTGAAATAATTTATATACTAAGAAAACAAGTAGTTGTTTAATCTTTTTAAATATAGATGAGTAGCCTATTATAAAATAATTTGTATGTAAATAAAATAAAAGTTATTTATATACTTAATATAGGATTAAAGTCTAATTTTATCTTTGAACTTATTTTTTAGAAGTGCTGGGCAATCTATTCTCTTGAGAAGGGCAACTTTTTTTCCTGAAATAATTTTTTAGAGGTCTAAAAATGTCCTCCTGTTAACCAGTCATAAACTCCCTCATTTTTGGTGATGTGGCAACTTGTGGGGCTCAGGCAAACCCCTTTTGACTTTCTGACATGTCTTATCTTCATTTTTTTGACCATATATGTGGCTTTATTGTCAACTTTTATGTGGCAGATGGTCAAATGAGAGCTTTTGTTGGTGAATGTAAAACAACCCATAATGCAAATTCATTGATAAACATTGCTTTTCTTTTGTTTTTTTTATTTTCACAAATGTCTACCTATTTAATTTCTTGACAGTTTTCAAGCATAGGCAAAATTACAAGTTATATATATCTTCCAGAGCCAGAGAGCCTTCAATCTCTACAATTTCTCTTAGGCCACTCTTCTTAACAAGCCTGACACCATCTCCTACACTATGAGTCACTTTGAATCTCAATTTCGATCACCTTTGAAAATCTCTACAAAATACTGATATCTGAAGGGGAGAAATGCCTTCATGATCACCATTGATACATGTTTATGTAATAAATTTGTATAATATATTGTGTAATCTTGCATAAATATCTCTTGAACCTTCTTTGTCTCTAGAAATGCCATCTTAAATCTCATCTGAGTCCATCTACAAATTACTTATAAAGTTTGAATATGTTTGCAACCATCACCTGGGCATGCAGGAATAGATGAATGGAGATAAAGTTTTTTAAAATGTATAACCACAAGTCTCGCTTTATTTTTTTATTTAATGGCATCTGTGGCCCCCTGGTTTCTTTTACTTTACCCACTAGTCTCTAACTCAACACCACTACTGTAAGAATCGGCAATGTCTTAGGATATTTCTCCTACAGAAGCTTCATCTCCTTCCTCTAGTACTAATGTGTTGCCATCGTCTATATTTTCTATGGCCATTCTAGCCAGCATTATCGAGTCCTTTGACGATAGGTAAAGGAGGCAACATCATGTCATTTATCAACAATACCCTTGCGGTTCCTCTACTAATTGGCAAAGTTAACTCTACCACCATACGGCCAACGCCAACCTTTGTTGGTCAATGGTCGATTAGTTTATTTTGTCTCTCTTTGTTTTCATTATCACTTCTTTTTACAATTTAAACTTACTTTTATTTTCATTATATTTTTTGTTTCCTTTCATTCTTTTGCCTAAATATGTGGCTCCACAAGTTGCCACATCACTAGATGATAGTGGAGTTTATAACTAGTTAACAGAAGAATATTTTTAGACCTCGAAAAATACATCAAAGAAAACATTGCCCCCATTTAAGAATATAAGCTATCTAATGCTCTTAGAAAATAAACATAGGGATAAAACTAAACCTTGACGTATTAATATATAATATGCGTGTGGCAACAAATTCTAGAGTAAAACAAATTGTTGACGCCTTATGGAAAAACAAATTCTAAAACAAAAAATTGTTTTAAAATTTTATTTGGCTAAAAGAATTGTTGTGTACAACTCATCATGGGAAAGACTTAAATACTTAGTGGTATGTAGTTAATACATTTTTATTTAATCAAATCAAGGTAAATAAATTTTAATATGTTAATAATATTAATAAAAATAGTTTGTTATATAATGTTGAAATAAAATAAATTGTTGTTTATATTTTAAATATAAATAAGTTGTTTATTTCGATCTTCTTATAACAATTTAAAATATAATTATTTGTCCTTTTTATGACCAGGAATAATGTTAATCCACCAAGATATATTTGTGAGCCTTAACCCTAATCCTAAATTTTATTGCTGGGATATGTTAAAATCTTAATAATTAAATGCAAATATTTTAATAGATCATCCTAATTGATAAATTCTTAAAAATAACAACAACTTAAAGATTACGACAATGAAAGGAATTATTCTTAAATATTAAATTAAATTAAAATAATTAAAATTAAATAAATTTAATTTTAATTTTTAAAATTGATGATCAAAATCTTGGGATGAATCTTCAACTTTTCTTCTTTTTCTTATTCCCATCAAATAACCATTTTAATATACAAAATGTTAACAATTTTCAAACTATTAATTTCAATCAAGATATTCTGAGACTAACGAGCATTATCATAAAATATTCTGACATGAGTTATAAAATACTTTCAATTTTAATTTAATGAAAGACACATGCACGTGCACACGAACAAGAATTTAAACCCTAAACCCTCGGCAGCGACCTTGAGACTAAACCCTGTCACTCCGAGGGGAATACTATAAAGAAGAAAAACGTTGTCAATTATCTCTTCTGGTTTTTCTTACTGGTTAACCCTAAGCCCTCAGCAGCGACCTTGAGCCTGCACCCTGCCACTCCAAGTGGCAGAAGAAAAACATTATTCTCAGTTACTTTTTTTGGTTTTTGTTACTGATTATTTTCTTTGCTTTCGCAATATATTCAGGTTGCAGGAAGCTCTGAATTCAGAACTTTCGATTTATATATATATACCTTTTAAAATCCCAGATAGTGAAGTTTTTCCCGCTCCAAATGGCTATTGACGGCTGTTTTAGCCTCCACTCAGCGGTTGAGAGATTTCTCGACCGTTTCCCAAAGCTTCAATCTTTTCCACAGTTTCATTCCCTGGCAAAAGAGGTATGGAATATATTTCATTCTGGACTCTATTCTAGTTTATGGTTAAGAAGGTATTAATAAAGGACGTGGACAAACGTTTATGTTAAAATGCATGGGTTTTTCTGCAGGGAAACTTGGTTACGGAAGAGGATGTTGTGAATAATTTCTCGGGTGTCTTTCTGCACCCTTCTTATACTATTCCATTGATGGGATGCTTCTGTCCGATTGCCCGAAAATTTACAGATAGAACCATTGCCCTTCTTCGGCTTGTGCCAAATTTAAGGTCTAATGTTCAGAATACTACCATGGAAGATGATTTTGTCGAAGTTTCAGACGAAATTGTGAATGTGATTGAGTTTTATAGCCAACATGGAAGGGGTCTAGATCTCCATGAACTTGCTTGTCTGGCCTTCTGTCGTGCTCTGGACATGGCTCCTTTTCTACTGAGGTTAGTTCTTCCCTGTAAATTTTTGTATGAACCTGGTTTTATTTAACTTCTTTTTATCAACTTGGACCTTCTTGTTCTCCATGTGTTTTTTTCCCTCTCTATATGTTTTTAACGGTAATAGTCCCATGAATATGGACAAAGGAATTTAGTGTTAATTATTATTCTCGAAAACTAAGAAAGCATTATGATTTATGCCTCTCAGTTTATATGGAATATAATTTTGTGTGAAATCTTGTTAGATGTTAACTGCCAAGTGTCTAGAGATGTCTGAAGTTGCTCTAATTTTGTAGCAGATTTGTGTGTTTTTGGCGTGGCAAGTTGGTAATAGAGATTTATTGATTCTGAAGTATAGGCTAAAGGGTTATTTAATTATATGAACACTTTGTTCTCATGTATGCATTGTGTCAAAATCTTCTCGATTAGGCAAACTGTATACGCTCAATTGCTTTGATTCTTGTGTTTCTCTGTAAATGTAATATTAATTCTCTTGAAGTTGAAGATATAAAATTTTTCTCATTAATAAAATCGGAATTTTTCCAAGTTAGCATTCTTAAGAAATTACCCAATGAAAAAGGAAAAGCCAAATGAAAGAGAAAAGGAAAGGAGAATTCTCTTTCAATTATCAAACATCCTTCTCTTGGTGAAGTATTAATAATTATCAAGAGTAGAACTTCAATAAATAGTTCCCCTATATTTGGAAATTCACATTATGTTGTCTTGGCTGTTTTTGATCTTTGTAGAAATGTTGTATGTATAGTGATGCCTTTTCTAATATGCATTGGTTTCAGTGATTATCAATGATGATTGCTAATTAAGACTTTTTAGCAATTGTGCTTTTCGACGGTTTTGTTATGATATTGTTTGATGTGATTAATTTGGCTAATTGGTGCAGTTCTGTATTAAACTACTTCAAGTTTGCTCCTTCTCCGTTTCAACGATTTTCAGTGAAACATGCTATCCCATCAATGTGGGCTAAGGTCTGTAGATGTTTTCTGATTTTTTTTTTTTGGCTACATGTTTTTAACCTATGAATCAATTTCTGGTTCTACCACATGTTACCAAGTTGTGTCCATTTTTTCGCCCAGATTGGAGCCCATGAATTACTTGTTGCCCAAATATCATACCGTTTCCTTATCATGAAAACTGAAGTTTTCTCAAAGCTGTGGGACTGGTCATGTTTCATTGACCTCTTGGAAGGGCCCACTAGCATTGGCGAATGTGGTGTGACAGCTGAAGCAACGGACCTGATTTGGTGTGGGGTACAAATAACGACCATTGTCTTTGAATTGAGTTATAAGGCCAGTGAAAACTTGAATATTGGATCAGAAGAAGCATCCAAATGTCTATTGCGGTCAGTAGTGTTTACTTCTCTTCTGCTGCACATTGTTATCACAATGTGGTTCTGGTTATGTTACGATGTTCATCTTCTGTTTTCAGTTGGGAAGCATTCTGCCAGGATACATTAATAGAGAAAGCTGGATTGTACTCCAGGCTGGTGGGGGAATATTTAGCAGGTTTTTCAGATGGAAGCATGTATTTTAGTGAAGAGAACTGTTTAGAGTCCTTTGGTCTTGATTTTCAAGCCGTTAGCTTGCCAAAGATGCATGGGGTTGAGCCACCTTTGAGGAGTCAAAAGCTTGCCACATGGTACATCATATTTTATTTTGAATCAAACAATTCCTTCTTGTCTTTTCTTCTAGTTAATTCTGATTTTCTTTGGGATTTAAACTGAATATATCAATTTTAATTAAACAGAGACAAGAGAAGAGGTTAATTGTAAACTTGAGTTATGGAGGAGGACATTGGAGTCGAAAGGTTTTCGTCTGAGTAGAAGTAAGACGGAATATTAATATTGTAAATTTGGTAAAGGAATATTCGACAATAATTTGGAAGTGAAATTGGGAGATCAAATTATACCTCAAGTGGAAAAGTTTAGATATTTGGGAGCCATTATTCAAAATGATGGCGAAATCAGTGGAGATATTTCACATAGAATTCAAGCTGGGTGGTTTAATTGGAGAAAAGCTAAAGGAGTTATTTGTGACCGTAAGGTGCCTAATAAACTTAAAGGAAAGTTTTATCGCACTGCTATCAGACCGGACAATGTTATATAGTAGTGAATGCTGGGCTCTAACGGGACAGCAAGAGCATAAAGTTGGAGTAGCAGAGATGAGAATGTTACGATGGATGTGCGGACATACACGTAAAGATAAAATTCGAAATGAGCACGTACGCGAAAAAGTGAGGGTGGCACCTATTGAGGAAAAAATGGTAGAAAATCGGTTGAGATGGTTTGGGCATGTACAAAGAAGACCAAGGGAGGCACCAGTGAGAAGAGTTGAACATATAACTTTGAGTCCGATTAAGAGAGGTAGAGGAAGGCCTAAGAGAACACTCTTGGAAGTTGTTGAATGCGATCTCTTAATTAATAATATTCCTAAAAGCTTGATAAATGATAGAGCACAATGGCGTCTTGCAATCCATGTAGCCGACCCCACCTAGTGGGATAAAGGCTTGTTGTTGTTGTTGTTGTTGTACTATTTACTCGCTTACCATCATGGGGCACCAACTTTCTCAGACGCCTTTTTTAAAATTCTATAAAAATTATTTTTTAAATGCTTTTTTGGTTCTTCACAACTTGGTTTATGTCTTGCAGCTTCTCTTTGGTAACTCTTAAAGTCTTACTGATATATTTTATGTCCTGAGGGGATTGTGCTGAATTTTCGATCTCTTCTGTGTTTCAGGGATGGTAAATCTAAAAGTAATACATTCATATTGACGTCAAAAGTGAAGCAAAGTTTTGATAGGGTTCTGTTGGCAGTAAGTCAGAAGTGGCCTGTTCTTTTATATGGTCCTTCTGGTTCTGGAAAATCTTCTCTCATTGCCAAGCTTGCTGGGGATAGTAACAACCAGGGTATGTTTAGATATATAAGCTTTCTTTTTTTACTAGTTATTATTTTTCCTGTCCTCTTACTCATATTATATATGAATTGTTGAATGTGTTGAGTTAGAATGTCATATTTCTCAGTATTTTGTGTAAATTGTCAAAACATGCTTCATGAGAAATGGTAAGTTGGGACCAAATATTTACTAGTTGCTTTTCTAGTTTGGCCACATTTTGTGGCTGCACTATTTGTTGTGTGCTGTTTATATCCATGTCACGTGAAGCAATTTGAAGTTTAAACCTTCATGAAGTGTAATGAATTCATGATAATGTGGGAAAGTAAGCTTTTATGATGTCCTCTTGGACTTTTTATCTGCAATGAAGGTGTAGATTGTTATCTACTCTATTAATCTACATGTTCCTCAGCCTGCTTTTTTTGTCTGTTTCCTCCCATAGTTCATGCATGTTTGCTGTGCATTGTTGTTCTTATTGTGGCCTAGATCTTCACTTCAACAATCTTTATGATCTAATCCTCTTTGCAGTTCTATCTATCCAGATGGATGATCAAATTGATGGTAGAACATTGGTTGGAGGTTATGTCTGTACGGATAGGCCTGGAGAATTTACATGGCAACCTGGGTCACTTACCCAGGTTTGTTTTCCCTTTGTGTCATCTTATCTAGTTTTGAGACTGTCAGATCGTATGATGCCAGTATATACAATACTTACCTAGAACGTGTCCTGTTTCATCTTTATGTGCTATGTTTGTCACAGGCCGTGCAGAATGGTTTTTGGATTGTTTTTGAGGATATCGACAAAGCACCACCAGATGTGCATTCTGTTTTAACACCTTTATTGGAAGGGACTGGCTCATTTATGACTGGGAATGGGGAGGTAGTTTCCTTGCATTTTGACTCCTTGTTCTTGCTGATGAAATGATTGTATCCATCTTCTGGTTTTGTTCTAAGTGCGAATGCTCATTAAGTTTCATCATTGCACCTTTTTGTTCAAGTAGAGGGTTGGTTACTTACTTTTAGGATTAATTAGTTAGGACTTTGGACTTCTTGGAGAATCAAGTGTCTCTCTCTCCCTAAAGATGTTTCTCTTGATAGGTTTTTTAATGCCTCAACGACTGTGGCTTGTTTGTTTGTTTGGTTAGAGAAGAATGCTTGGTTTCCACTGATATATTTTAGGCCTTTTGATGTAGCACAAAGGGGAAAAGGGGCGAAATAAGTGAGAAAAAGAGAACCCCCATGTTGATGGCCTGATATTCTTATTAGCAATACAATGCTAAGGTCTACAACAAGAATAACCTTTGGGGCTTATAGAGTCCTAAAGTAAAGTTAGTAGTAAATGTTGAGCTTTAACGTGACAGTAAGAGCATGAAGTTGGAGTAGTAGAGATGAGAATGTTGAGATGGATGTGCGGATATATATGTAAAGATAAAATTCAAAACAAGCACATGCGAGAAAAAGTGGGCGTAGCATCTATTGAGGGAAAAATGATAGAAAATTATTTGAGATTATTTGGACATGTATGAAGAAAACCATGGGAGGCACTACTGAGGAGAGTGAAATAAATAATTTTTAGCCCTGTTAAGAGGGGTATAGGAAGACCAAAGAGAATATTTTTAGAAGTTGTTGATGGAAGCCTCTTAGTTAATGGCATTTCTAAAAGCTTGATATATGATAGAGTATAATGGTATCGTGCAATCCATGTAGCCGATCCTACCTAGTGATATAAAAGCTGGTTGCTGCTGCTGCTTCTAGAGTCCCAAATACAATTATTGAAAAATAAAACAATGCTTATAACAGCTTAAATAAATAAATTCTAAGAAAACCCTACTTTAAAATAAAATAATGACTAAGCATAAAATTACTATGGTTATGTTCGGAAACCCATTAAAAACGAGCTTTTACACCTTTTGAGACTTTGTTTTCAGTTTGTCAAGTGTGTTTATCAAAAGCCCATCTGGCAAATTGAAGTTTGGTAAAAGTTATTTTTAATTGGATCCATGTTTAGATACATTTTTGAAAAAGTTAGTTTGGTAAACTAAATCTTGTTTGAAAAGAAACCCAGATCATGGCTTTTCTCTTTGTAGAGAAGAGACAATGAATGGTAGAGAAATATGATAAACACCTAGTTTATTTAATGTACATTGAGAATCCTCAATAATAGCAGGTCCTAAGGTGTAGAGCCTGAGAGATAATTTAAGCTTGCATTGTAATAGAGCTTCTATGACCAAGGGGTCAAGTATTCAATCTTTGCTGGCTTTGTTCTAAGTAAGTGAAATTTCAGCACTAGATAGCTTGTCCATGCTTCAAACCTTACCCTATGATTTTACCCCATTGTGATGGATCATGTTAGAAACTATAATTAGTGTTGCTTGACAAAAACTAACAAGAGCATAATGCATAAGTAACTCAAGACAATTTTAAATATACTCATAATCCTTATTTTTTGTGTTGACTCTTTCCTTGTTTATGGGGTTTGAATCACTTATCCTTCCTCTGGTTATATTTCTCTCTAATTTTATTCTTTTCATCATATGTTTTAGTGATAAAACAAGATATTTTGTTTACTAAAAAAAAAAAAACAAGATATTTAACTGAAAGGAAGGGAATAGGTGCAAGAATGAGTGTGAGGCTTGTGCTTGAAAGAAAAAATAATGAAAATATTTTTTCATGCCAGTACATCTTCATCCTTTGAAGGCTCCCACATGAAATACTCATTAGCTAATTACTGTGAAAATGGAAGGGAAGTGTTTTGAAAATTTTTTAGCGTTGCTTCCAATTTTTAGTTGCCAATTTGCTGCCCACATAGTGTAATTTGTTAGTTTCCATCTTTTACTTATATGAAGAGAAAAGAATTATAGAGGTCTGATTAATTGATTAGCATTTTAGAACCTGTTGATCTCCTGCATTTCCTCATACATAATATCTCTGTGTCACTGTGTTCTTTGGTCATTGATTATTGAAGCATCACACTAAATTTGCAGGAAATAAGGGTGGCAGAAGGTTTCAGAATGTTTTCAACTGTTGCAACTTCCAATCTTGAAATATCCCAGGGTGCATTTTTTTGACTCTGTTCCCCCATCTAATTTCTATTTGTTGGATTGTCTTTATTTTTGGGGTGACTCTTTTCTGTTTTAAAAAAAGTGTTTAAGCTGTTCTTTAAACTGTGGCACGTCTTTGTGGTCCAAAAAAAAAACCTGTGGCACATTTCATAACGTTAGTTGATCATTGTAACATAATAGATATATTTCAACTTCAGAGTGCTTAAAGAAGAACGAAATATTGTTATGCAATCAATGTTGTTTAAATATTTAGTGGAAATTCTTCAGTTTCTGTTTGATTCCTATGGTTTTCATATTATCTTTGATTCCTCTTTGACCATTTTGGGTTTTATTTTTGTTTCATTTATTCTTTCTCTCGTTTGAATTTTTTTTTTTGGCATTCTAATTGTTATAATGAAATTCTGGATTGTTTAATAAGCAATTCCTTCCACCAAATCTTCTTTGGAAGACATTACTTTTCATGTTCTCTTTGTGGGTTTCTGCTAATTGTTCATTTTGGGATTTCTTTCATGTATCTTAAAAGGGATTGGATGGTATGTCTGAGTAAGATGATTGGTTGCTCTCTTCTGGTTTTTTTTTTTCCCATGCTTGGGGATGATCTTTTGTCCTCTATTGTTTGTGCCTCTGGTCTATTGACTCTTCTCATCAAAAGAATTCTTTTTCATCTGAAAAAGAAAAAGAACATGGGAGAGGTTGAATGATCTTTGGGCAAAAAGTCCTCCTTAAATCAATTATGATAATCATTCTGCAAATATGGAGTAAGCCCTGAGCATGATGGAAATGAGTTATTAAAAATTATCAAATAGTTTATATTCTGTTTGCTGAAAATCCATCTTTCAAATATGAGGTGAAGTCTGAATTTTGTTGCATTGGTAGGTCGAGGTTCACTCAGTGTCCTTTGGAGAAGAGTGATGGTTGGTCTTCCTGAGAAAGAAGACTTGAAAAATATAGTCATAGTTTGGTATCCAAAGTTGGAGCTTCTTGTTGACAGGCTCATAGGTATTTGCATAAATTTATGTCAACATATAGTGTCTCAGATTCTTTCTTTTATTTGAAGTGATAGTTAAAAACTGACTCGTTATTTTTGTATTGCTATGATTATCTTTGGCAGAAACTTTTGCAAGGGTTAACTCTGCCTACATGCATCAGAATGCAGGTTTCCACTCTGGAAATTCTGCTTCTGTTGATCGTCTCAACAGATTCTCGTTGAGGTAACTAAGGAAATTATTGCTTTTCTTGCTTGTTTTGTCCATTTACTTTTATAATTGTAGCTTTGATTCTCTATGGCAGGGATCTCCTTAAATGGTGCAAGCGCCTTGTTGGCTTATGTTTTACTTATGATGCTGGTCGCTTATCAGAGTACCAATGTTATTTAGTTTACAAAGAGGTCTATTTTACTTGTAATCCCCACAATCTTTGCTTCTGAATTTTTGTGAAAAATTTCAGTTACTTGATGTATAGTTATTGTCCTGCATGCAGGCTGTTGATGTTTTTGCAGCCTTTTCAGCTTCATCTAAACAGCGTTGTCTATAATGAAAGAAATAGCAAGGTTATGGGCAGTGCCTATATCAGCTGCTGAGACCTTGTATCCCCGTGACAAACCAATAATTCAGGTTTGTTAGTGATAACTGTATTGACCATTGATTACATTATTTGGTAACATCAGCTTCTCATTTTTGGTGGTGAACTGCAGGACTCCGTCACTGATTTAAGAATAGGACGTGTTTCACTTCAATACACTACAAAAACAGTAAGTAATGGTGCAATGAAAAATTTAGTTAGAAAACTTGTATCATGGGAATGGTCTCATCTTTCCTTGGCAACGCTTTTATGTTCTTATGCAGTTACAAGAACATATGAGACCTTTTGTTCAGATCAGTAGTTCTCTGCATGTACTTGAGCGCATAGCTTGCTCTGTCAAGTATAATGAAGCTGTACTCTTGGTAGGGGAAACTGGCACCGGGAAGACTACTCTTGTTCAAAATTTGGCTTTAAGACTTGGTCAGAAGCTTACTGTTTTGGTATGCTTGCTTTCATGTGCTTGATCTCTTCAGTGTTCCTTGTATTGGAAATTCAATTAACTGTCAGACTGAGTGATACACTTTTATTTCAGAATTTAAGTCAGCAAAGTGATGTTGCGGACATAATAGGTGGATTTAAGCCTATGAATGCGCAATTTGTTTATTTCCCACTTCACAAGGAGTTCAAGGATCTCTTCTCCAGAACTTTTTCTGTTAAGGTATCCATTTTTTTTCCCCGGAATATTTGGTTAGATGGTTTGTAGATGGCGTTAATGTCTCTAAGTTGTTTGCTGCTGTTCAGGAAAACATAAACTTTCTTACACAGCTAGAAAATTATCTGACTGATAAGAAATGGAAAATGCTACTGAAAGGATTTCGAAGAGGAGTTGGCATTTTCCGCAAGTCAGTTGAGCTTGAAAGAACTGGGTCTGCGAAGAAGCGTAAAAAGCCATTGAATGAAGAAAACATTAAAGCTTGGGAGAGATTTTCAGTTAAACTTGAAAGTGTTTGTCATAGTGATCCATCTTCAGGGATGATGTTTTCTTTCGTAGAAGGAAGTTTTATTACTGCACTTAGAAATGGTGAGTGGATATTGCTTGATGAGGTGAATTTGGCCCCTCCAGAGACCTTACAGAGAATTATTGGGGTTCTCGAAGGGGAGAATGGGACCATTTGTTTGGCTGAAAGAGGTGATATTGATTATATACACTGTCATCCGAACTTCCGTATGTTTGCTTGCATGAATCCAGCAACAGATGCTGGGAGGCGGGATTTACCCTTTTCTTTAAGGAGTAGGTTTACTGAATATTTTGTTGATGATGTTCTGGATGATGATGATTTAAGTCTATTTATTAATGAATTTATTAGTGATGGCCATAAAGATTGGGAACTAGTTAATAAAATTGTCTGTTTCTATAAAACATCAAAAGAGGAAGCTGAAGAGAGGTTGCAGGATGGTGCTAATCAGAAACCTCAATACAGTTTAAGGTCCCTTTACCGTGCTCTAGAATATACAAGGAAAGCGGAGAGAAAATTTGGGTTTCATAAAGCATTATATGATGGTTTTTGTATGTTTTTTCTCACACTGTTGGATGGGCCCAGTGCTGAAATAATGAAAAGGAAAATATGTTCTCTTTTGTTAAACTCAAGTGTGCCTCCTCCACATGTACCTTTTGATCAATATTTAACCTCGATCAAATCTGATGCTTCCTTGGGGAGCTATGTTCTGACTAGAAGTGTTCGGGAGCATCTTGGGAATTTGGCTCGTGCTGTTCTGATAAAGAGATATCCTGTGCTCCTACAGGGGCCCACATCTAGTGGGAAAACTAGCCTTGTTCGGTATCTTGCTGCACTGATGGGTCATGAGTTTGTGAGAATTAACAATCATGAGCACACTGATTTGCAGGAGTATCTAGGTTCTTACATAACTGATGCTAGTGGGAAGCTTGTTTTTAATGAAGGTATATTGGTTAAAGCAGTAAGACATGGTCGCTGGATTGTATTAGATGAGCTTAACCTGGCTCCGTCTGATGTCTTGGAGGCATTAAATCGGTTGCTTGATGATAACAGGGAGCTTTTTGTTCCTGAACTGCAAGTAACCATTAAAGCACATCCAGACTTTATGCTTTTTGCCACTCAAAATCCACCTACTGTTTATGCTGGGCGTAAAATGCTGTCTCGGGCATTTCGCAATCGCTTCATAGAGATTCATGTTGGTGAAATTCCTGATGATGAGTTGAGCACAATACTGGAGAAGAGATGTGAAATCCCTCAAAGTTATGCTAGAAAAATGGTTGAAGTCATGAAGGAACTTCAGCTGCACAGACAGAGCAGCAGAGCATTTGATGGGAAGCATGGTTTTATAACTCCCCGAGATTTATTTCGTTGGGCTGATCGTTACAAAAGATTTGGAAAATCCTATGAAGATTTAGCTAAAGATGGATTTTATCTTTTGGCTGAAAGGTTACGAGATGATAGTGAAAGGTCCCTTGTTCAAGAAGTTCTGGAGAAACATCTGCGGGTTAAAATAAACAGAAACAGCATTTATGATCAGGTATTGTCTCTTTGATGTTTTGTGCTCAGCTTTTGTTGCTTCTGACATTGTGAGTATTTTTATTCTGTAGCTTTTTGAGAATTTATTCAAATATCCAATATATAAACAAACATTTAAAATTATATTGAATGGAAGGTTGCTCTGCATACTTTTCCCTTGGTTTGTTGTTGGGAAGCTTATTCTGTAAAATTAAAATATATCCTTGCATGATATGATCTGTAGTTAAAATTTTTCAGACCTATCATGGAAGTCTTGTTGTGAATATGGGCTGTGAATTTGTTGGTAAATATTCTCAAATTTATAATTTATTATAACTTTTTTTTGTGAGTGGATTCTTTTTCTGGTCTGATGAATGGTGTAACCTGGTTTTAAATTCAGAACCACTGTGACTATGTACGTATTGGGTATTTTCTTTTATATATCTTCATAATCAAGGATGATGTCCCTTTGTTGGATTGAGCTCGTGAAATATTTGGAATTTGAAAATTTTGATATTTTTCAAAAGTTAGTATTGATAATTGGTTATACATTACTTGGTAATAGTGATGAAAAGTTGATCAACAAGTCTCTCTTCCATAAAAGGGCCTCATAGAATTTTTTTTTTAATTTTTTACAACCTTCAGGTGATATTTGAGGGGAAGCACTCTTTTAATCTGTGTGTTGATTCTGGAGGTTCAAGAAGTCTTGAAAGGTATTGGCTTGTTATCCCTTTTCTGCTGGCCCAAAATTCATCATCAATCATATAAATACTGATGCTTTTCTCCTATACAGTTTTAATATGACCAAAAGCATGCAGAGGTTGTACTTCCTAGTGGAGCGCTGCTACCAGTTGCGTGAGCCTGTGCTGCTTGTTGGAGAAACAGGTGGAGGAAAGACCACTGTCTGTCAGCTTTTAAGTGCTTGTTTGCGGATGAAGTTACATATCTTGAATTGTCATCAGTATACAGAAACATCTGATTTTCTTGGGGTTGGTTATCTCATACTTTTTGTTTATTTTAGTGTTGGAAGGAGTTTGTAATGAAATTATCATTTTAATTTATGAAGTGCTAACCAGAAAAATTTGTACCAGGGTTTCCGTCCTATCCGAGAGAGGTCTAGACTTATATCCAACTATAAGGAGATGGTGGAACACTTGAAGAAGCTAAAGGCTTATACTTGTTTTCCTCAAGGCCTTGTGAGTGCTATATTTCTATCCTTCCCGTATACATCACGTGAAGAATTTGAGTTGATAATTGTGGATATATGTAGCCCTAATTTTTCTCCACCTTTCTGTTATTATTTTAATTTTTTTTTGATATAGAGGTTTCTTATTTACGCTGGTTTTGTCACTGATATTTTCTTCCTCTTTTTTCCCCAATACAGCAAATACTGATTTTTCATTTTTTTTCTTTTTTTGCAGTGTGTTTCTCCTGACATAGATCATGCTTCTTCAACCCTTGATTTGCTGAATGGTGTAATAAGGAAATATAAAGAAGGTCAAGTTTGTTGTCCAGATGTCACCACGGATGATCTTTATGCTTTTGAGCAATTGAAGTTCGACCTTGATGAGCTGCATCATAAGTGGCAGAGTATATTTGTGTGGCAGGATGGGCCCCTTGTGAAAGCGATGAGAGATGGTGATCTCTTTCTCATAGATGAGATGTCTTTGGCTGATGACAGTGTGCTTGAGAGATTGAATAGTGTATTGGAGCCCGAAAGGAAGCTGGTAAGTAATCATATTTGTGTTTTTGAACATTTCAGCATAAAAGCTTATGCCATTGAGAGAGAAAGTTAATGAGTGCTTTTTACATGTCTGCAATGTGGTTCCTAATGTGGAAGTGCGAAGTGCTGGAAGTGTGGGGAAACAGTTTTATTCCTCCTATTGACTTGATGGTTAAGCCAGTTTTAGATTTACCTTTATAATTGAGGATATATATATATATATATATTTTTTTTTTTTCATTTCCATATGCTTAATGATTATATGGGAATGAAAAACAGAGGAGAGGATGTCCTTCCCTAACAAAAGTAACAAAAGTCCAGCTCAGAAGAGCCTCGAATTGTTTTACGCTCCTGCACTGCAATCCTCCTCATCCTTAGTTATATTTATCCTACTAAGTGTCCATCTCCAATCTTCTTCGAAAAGTTTTGCTGCACTTACTTTTCCAGTCTAAAATTAGTTCATGCACAATTGCTAATTAGGATTTTCAGAAATGGTCACTTGTGAATGAACAATAATTGCATTCACTTGCTTAGTGCTGGTAGCAGACATTTACATGAACAACTAGTTATTTATATATTCTGCTACAATTTGTGATTTTTTCATTTTTGCTTGCAGTCTTTGGCTGAGAAAGGGGGTCATGATCTGGAGGAAGTCAGTGCTCATCCAAATTTTTTTGTTCTTGCGACCATGAACCCTGGTGGTGATTATGGTAAGAAGGAGTTATCTCCAGCATTGCGCAATCGCTTCACAGAAATATGGGTTTCCCCTGTTAGTGATTTAGATGAACTTAGAGAGATTGCTTTGACAAGGTATTGATCAGTTTCACAGTTAAAGGATGAGTGTTTATTTCAACTTCATTTGTCCCTTCTATATTTGCCTTTTGTTTTCAGAATTTCAAAGGTTGAAGATGCAAGCAACTCATTTCCTTCTGATCGAGATAAACTCTCAAGCAGCGACATTGTTGATGCTATGATATGTTTTTGGGAGGTATGCTCTGCAGATTCACTATTGAAATTTGAAACTATCAGTTTACTTTTTCAAATGTAAAATCTTTACCATTGAGCTCATTACGGGTGGTTTCCCTTTGCTCTGTTAATTCCTCTCTGGAATTCTTTGCATCCATATCTATGTTGAGCCAAACTTTTTTTATCCTCACAATCACTAAAGAAATGTTTTAGGTTGTGACGTGTAAATAAAATTCAAGCTGCTGCTATTAAGCGCTATTTGGTGTTATATGGTGATTATTTATATTTATCAGATCTGTTATATCAGATGATTCATTTGTTTTTCTAATCATGCTTTTCAGTGGTTCAACCAATTGCATCCTGAGAGAATGCTTACCGTGAGAGATCTCATTTCTTGGATTGCTTTTTTCAATGTGATGGAAGGAAGCTTGGGACCTGAATATGCAGTTCTTCATGGAGTATTCCTTGTGTTGCTTGATGGATTGAGTTTAGGTACATCTAATCTGTTATGTAGTTTATTTGTTACCTTCATTCATTTTCCTCTCTTTTTAACTATTTTCTTATAACCTAACAGGGACTGGTATGTCAAAAGCTGAGGCTGATGAGATAAAGGAGAGATGTTTATCCTTTCTTCTGCACAAGCTGAGGGTATATTTCTTTTATATCCTTTTTGAGAAATTGAGAGAAAATAAGAGGAATTTGAAAAGTTGGTAGTATGTTCTGATCTGCTAGTCTGTCTTATTTATAAGCATATGTACAAGACAAATAATTGATGAATAATGATGACACTTCTATCCTCCTAGTCATAACCTTTTCAGCCCTAGTCTCTTACAATAAATATAATATCTATTCTGATAAACAACACTTTGTTCATTTACATGATAGCAATGTTTAAAAATTTAAACTGGCTGTTGAACTGAGAAGAGAATTGGTTAATCTTTGAGTGATCTTCCTGTAGTTCAACAGTGATCAAGCTGGATTTTGATATTACTGATGATGTTGATAACTTATGCATTTGAACTGATTCAGTTTTGGATACAGTGTCGTATCCTCTATGGCCAAGTAATCAATAATTTGGTTTTTCCATTGTCTATTGCCTTCATTTTTTGTAATTGTTAACTTCATTGGTGCTACAGGTTGATGAAACTCATTTATTATATTCAAAACTTTCGAGAATGGGAAATTACAGTTGGGGTGAATTTGGCTCACTGGCTGGTGTTTCTCATATTGATGATATGCTACGAGATGATGTATTTGGCATTGATCCATTCTTTATCAGGAAAGGTGATCCTGAGATACATCATGCTTCCTTTTATTTTGCGTAGTTTGAATTGATCTTTGCTAAGTGCTTTTTCCATCCAGGTTCCATCACAATTTTTGCATGAAATAACCTAGGTGTGATAGATTTCTTATCCTTCTCTGTGATTGTGGAGTGAGTTTCGTTTCCATTATCTTTTATATCAGAGGTTTTGATTCACGTTGATATTGGCTTGATTGACCTCAATCTACCTGTTCAAGCTCATTGGCTTGTACTAAAATTGCAGATGGCAATGGAGTTTTTTGAACTACTTTTGTCACTTACTTATTTTTCTCTGTTTTGTTGTAACTTGGATGTTAAAGAGGGATTTTTCTTTTTCTTCATTCTTTGTGTACTTTTCGCAGTTTGGATGAAAATCCTAATAAGAGAAACTATAAAATGTATAATGAATAGTTCACGTTGAAGATTGAGTATGATCCCATGATCTGTGGGTTTGATTGAAGGTGACCTGATTTATGCTTGTTTCTGTCTTTAGTTTCTGTTAGGTTTACTGTTGCTTGATCTTGAGATATTAGAAGTAAATTTAATGGTCTGTTTCATTATTTTTTCTTTCATGAGTCCTGTATTTATACATGTCGTGAAAAACATATGACCGTGGGTGAGAGATAATTCTCATCTCCAAACTTTTCAAACTATTTCATGTTTGTATGCCTATAGGTTGTGGCAGTTGTGAGATTGGGGGATTTGAATTTAAGGCACCAACAACCAGACGAAATGCTATAAGGGCTCTGCGTGCTATGCAGCTTTCAAAGCCTGGTATCAGAATTTAGTTTTCTTCTTCAGCAGCATTAGTTCTTTTCCTTCAGTTCTGTCTCAATTTATTCTCATGTTAATTTTCATATCACTGGTATGCAGTTTTACTAGAAGGTAGTCCAGGGGTTGGGAAAACAAGTTTGATTGTTGCCTTAGGAAAGTTTTCTGGACATAAAGTGGTACGAATAAATTTATCTGAGCAGGTCAGTAATTAATGTTGCTTGATTTATCTTTCAGTTCCTGTACTGTATGTTTGTATATTCTTGTCAGCCATATCATTTTTATACTTGGATGTATTTTCTGGATGTTTTTGGTGCAGACTGATATGATGGATCTGTTGGGGTCAGATTTACCTGTGGAAAGTGACGAGGGAATGAAATTTTCTTGGTCTGATGGGATACTATTGCAGGTTAAGTGGTTGTTTGATGAAAGCTTTAATGTCCATCACACTTTTGGCATTAATATAACTATCAGCTATCCTTGTTTTCAGGCCCTGAAGGAGGGATGTTGGGTTTTGCTTGATGAGCTTAATCTTGCTCCACAATCTGTTTTAGAGGTATTTTCATGCCAATTTAAATGTTGTTTTCTCCTTTTTTCCATCTTTGTTCCATGGTCCACCTCATTTTTAAATGAGCAATGAATTTCTCTCAATCTTATTTATTTGCTAGCTTCCCTTTTTGGTTCTTTGGAAATGGGTGGGGAAAGGGTGTATTTTAATTTTTCTTTGTAGAGGAATGAATGAATGGCTTTGGTTTTTGAATGTACGAATAGTAACTCAGATAATTTGAATCAGGGTTTGAATGCTATTTTGGATCACCGAGCTGAGGTTTTTATACCAGAGTTGGGTCAAACTTATAAATGTCCACCATCATTTAGAGTTTTTGCTTGTCAGAATCCATCACATCAAGGTGGTGGTAGGAAGGGCCTTCCAAGATCGTTCCTGAACCGATTTACTAAGGTAAGCTGGTTTGCCAAGGATATCAAGTCTGCTTCCCTGAGAAAATTTCTCATGTTTCTATGGTCGATTTTCTCTTTTATTGGTTCCTTGCTTTTTGATGTTAAGCTTACTCATTATGAGTTAGTCTTTCAATATTGATGATAATTTTTTTTCAATTATTTGCTTTTTACTCCTTGATTACAGGTTTATGTTGATGAATTAGTTGCTGATGACTATCTTTCCATTTGTGAATCAAAATTTCCAACAATTCCGAGGTCTTTACTCTCAAAGCTAATCTTATTTAATAAAAGAATGCATGAAGAAATCATGGTGCAACATAAGTTTGCCAAGGATGGCTTTCCTTGGGAGTTCAATCTACGTGATGTATTTCGATCTTGTGAAATTATTAAAGGTTATATTATTCTAATCCTTTCAACTTCAGTTTTTTCTCTTCTTACATCTTTTGTCACATGTAAAGTCATTCACTCTCTCTCACTCACAATATTTTCGTATGTTTAATCCAGGTTCTCATAAGCACAGAAGCAAATATTCCTTTTTGAACATTGTCTACATTCAAAGAATGCGTACAGCAGCTGATCGCCATGAAGTCATGCAGCTCTTCAAGGAAGTATTTGAGGTGACTCCATTGATAAATCCCTATCCTCGCATAGAAACCAAATCCAATCACCTAATTGTAGGGCATGCTGCTATTAAGAGGAACCACGTCCACTTATCGACATCTTCAAGCTTTCAGCTTCGAATGTTGCCTGAAAATCGCCTAAGTTTGGAAGCTGCTGCTCACTGTGTACAGCATCAATGGTTATGTATCTTGATTGGCCCATCCTGCTCTGGCAAATCTTCCTTGATAAGGCTGCTTGCCAACCTCACAGGAAATGTACTGAATGAAGTAAATCTTTCACCTGCCACTGATATATCTGAATTACTTGGGTCTTTTGAACAATATGATGCTTTGCGAACTTTTCACTCTGTTGTTGCTCAAGCTGAGCACTACATTAGCGAGTATTGCAATTTGCTAGTGGAAACATCAAAAGCAGAATTCTTTAGCGAAAAGCATCTAGTTACTAGATGGCTTGCTTTCTTGCCTAGCATGAAGTTTGACAGTTTGGAGGCTTCTGCTTCATTTTATGTTGAAAACTGGGAAAAAATTGTTTGCTCTCTTAGTCTGTTGGTTGAGATCATTGAAGAACTAAAGTTGAATATAGAGAAGAAATCTCTCAACATGTCTTGTTCATTCATGGAACTTGATTTGATCCTGAAGAAAATTTTGAAGCTGAAGGTGGATCATCAGAAAAGGTTGATTTCAAAAAAATTTGAATGGGTTCCAGGCATACTAATCAAGGCTATAGAACGAGGGGAATGGATAGTCTTGGACAATGCAAACCTATGTAACCCCACAGTATGTGACGTCTGCTCTTGGTTATTTGTTTACTTATTTTTGATAGTACACTTGGCTATTTATTTATTTATCAATTGGTTGACAAAGAATCATGCTTGCATCTCAAGGCCACTATGCCTGTAAAAATCCTTTTTCTTTGTCTTTAGAAGTGATTTATATTAAGTATTTGCGAAATGTTGACTTAAATATTATTTATTTGTTTATTTATTGTATTTGTTTTAGGTTCTTGATAGAATTAACTCTTTGGTGGAATCTTCTGGATCAATTACGGTTAATGAGCGTGGAATTGTTGATGGAAAGCCATTAGTTATTCATCCACACCCTAATTTCCGTATGTTTATCACCGTTAATCCCACCCATGGTGAAGTCTCTCGAGCAATGCGTAATAGGGGAGTTGAAATATTCATGATGCAGCCATACTGGTTATTGGATAATTTAAGTGGATACAAGTATGATGATACTGAATTCAAAGACGTAAAGAGATTTCTCATTTTATCTGGTATTCCTGGTTCTCATTTGGTTAATGCCATTGCCAGAGCCCACATCTTTGCTAAGAATGAGGGTATACACCTTAATGCTCACATTACATATCTTGAACTCTCGCGCTGGGTTCATTTGTTCCAGCAGCTTCTTATGAATGGGAATAGTCCTATTTGGAGTCTGCAAATAAGTTGGGAGCATGTATATCTCTCCTCTTTTGGTGAGGTTGAAGGTAGGAAAATAATTCGTTCTGCATTAACCACTTTTTTATCAGTATCTGATATTTCTGGTAATGATACTTTGGTGGCACATCCTTTATGTTTGCCGGGTGGATGGCCAATGCCACTGACTTTGAAGGACTTTATATATTACTCAAGAGAAGCTTCAGTAAAACAAAATTGCATGTATCTGGAGTTTCTGGGAGCACAGCTTGCATCACATCAATATCGAATTGCTCCAAACAGATTTTCCTCAGACCATCGGCTATATTTGATAGATATGATGGCATTGCATGAAGTTTTGTTTCCCAAGGTTCTAAATGTGACAGTTTCAGACTGCAAAAGTGAAACTGAATTTGACTTGGAACTGGCAAATAAGATGCTGTTGTTTGCTGCATATTGGACCATTGAACAAGCAACGGAAAGTGATTTTAATCTCTATCTTCTTCGGTTTAGTTGGTTTAGTTCTCAGATACATCCATTCTGTCAGTTCTTTCAAGAGTTTCTTAGGCTGTTGGGGCAAATGGTCAAGCATCCTATCTGGCAATATATTTTGCACTGTGGCCGGCTTGATTTTGATTTGCAGTCATTGCCATTCTTGTCCCTCGATTTATTTGATTTGGCAGAATCAAATAGCACATGTAAATATCTCAGTAATGCTATTAGCTGCATAGATATGCTAAAGTTAACTTACCAGCAATGGGAAATCGAGAAGCAATGGGATATCATGAACAAGCATCATTTTGATGATGAAGTTTACATCTTTAAATCATTTTTGGGGTCTCTTCAAGAATTGGAAAATGAATTCCTCAGTAAAGTTGCTTGTCCACCCACCATGATTGTTGAATATTCATCTTTTGATAATTTAACACAGTTATATTCTGACATTATTGAGAATCATGCATTATTCTGGCGTCACTTCACTTCATCAAAGTTTGACCATTTGATAATATCATGGCGTTCTTTGGTGAAGGATGCTAGGAAGTTGTTGCATATCTGCCCAGAGCGGGTCGAGGAACTTTTGGTAAGTCTGTTGTATTCTTAACAGAAAGTTACTAATTTATTGCTATAATTCTTATTATTTTTTCCATTTCAACAGATGAAGAGTGGAGAATTGGAGAAATTTTTTTCCAAAAAAAGGAGAAATTTGGAGTTGTTTTCTTTTTCGGAAAAATCCTTGCTTTGGGTTCATGGTGGTCATCCATATTTACCTCCTTCTTGTGATTTACACCACAAACATGACCAGCTTTTGAAATTTGTTGAACTCTTGTGGCCAACAAAGAAAGCATCTAGGAATCAAGGTTTGGTAATCTGAATTCTTTTCTTTTGGTTTCTCTCATGGCTAAGTTTTTGTTAAGTTTTATTTTTTGTCTCATTTAATTTTCTCTGGAAATGTCTAGGAATGCTGAGCAGGCAGCTAATTGAAGTGGTTGCATCATGTGATCACAGTCTTCGTTTCCTTGTGGTACAAGGTATATATACTTCTGCTGTACTTATTTCTTTTTTAAGAGGATTTTTATCTTGATGTTGTGATATCCATTTGGTCGGCCATGAACATTTTCTAAGATCATATCTAAGGTCACACCACTTGTGTGTTAGGAGTTTGAATGTTGTTTTGGATCTAACATTGTCTTGGAATAGGGCACTATCTAGTATGATTTCTCTTTTCTGAATTTCCTATGAGAGTTGTTTTGGACTGTTTTAGTAGCTTTGGAGTTGATGTTAATTAAATTTTTTATAATTATAAATGCAATTCATGGTATTTGCTGCATTGTGTTATGTCCATAATATTGCCCACGTACTTTTTAACTCTTCATTATAGTTGAAATTTAGGGCCTATTTGGCAACTTGTTTTGGGAGCAGTTTTCTGTTCTCTGGAACCAAAATATATATATATATATATATATTTGTTTGGTAATGTATTTTTAAAAGGTGTTTTGGAGAAGAAAAAAAAAACAAAATATTGTTTTGGAGAATAGAAAAATGGAAACATTTTTTAGGTATCTTGGAATTATTATTCTGGAGAACAAGGGAGAATGAGAAAAACACCCATTATTATTATTTTTTTGTTCTCAAAACATGTTCTACAAAACACTAGTTCTTAAAATAATAAAACAAAAATAGTTTCAAATGGGCCCTTAAGTTCTCATCTCTACTTCCTGTTCTTTTAAAAATATTGAAGCTTTAGCTTTAAGTTGGTTGTTGTGGTGGCCTTCATGCTTTACAAAAAAGGGTTCATAAAAAACTAGAGATGATCTTAAATTTACATCTCATGCAGAAATTTCTGTTTACATATTGATTCATTTTTGTTGGGTCATATGTAAATTTCTTTCTTTTTCTAATCACTTAGGTGTTTCAATGTCATCATCTATAATGGAGAAATGGAGTCAGGAGGCTCATCATGATGCTGATATTGTTAAACAATTGGAGCAGATGTATCAGGTTTGTACCTCTGACTTCTTTATGGAGATTTGTATGAATATCTGTTCCTTATTAAACCTACAAATGCTTCTCTGCAGATGCTGGTAAGAAGGTTTGAGAATGTAAAGCATGAGTTGCAAATGAATATAGGATCCAATGGTCCTGCAGATTGGGGTGGAAGTTCGGTTGCTTGTTGTTCATTTCCTCGTGGAATATTATTCCTAGAACCTTCTTTTTGTAGCTGGCTGGATACACTTCCTCCAGTTGACAATGCCAGTTTACATTGGGATATGGAGTTGCTTCAAGAGCTGACATCAATTGACTTGGATGAACTCGAAGGTTTACATCAAGTAAGATCAACTTTTTTTGTTCTTGTGGTGTTTTCTGTTTGATTTCTTACTTGAGTTTACTCGTAGTATGCAATTTACAGATTTAAGATGTATAGGAATTCTAAACATTGAATCTGCTAATTTTCTTCAATAAAACCTTTCTCTCAGATCCTAATGTCTGATGCTTATTTATCAAGGAATTAAATCTTGTTTTTTAATTAGCGTGGTGAAACCATACTTCCACTTTGCATTGAATGAACTATTCAGTTTTTTTTTTTGGCTTTCTTCGAAGTATTTTGCTGTACATATTTGTTCTGAACATATTTTTGGATGATTCTTTGCTGAATAGGCCGTTGGACGTGTTTCCAACCTTTTGGCTTCTGCCTTGAATTTTTCATTGACCTTCTCTTCAAGACCTCTTCAAATGTTTTTTCCACATCAAAAGATCTTGTGGATCTTGAGTGAATGGACTGAAGTGAATGCAGGTTGGTAGAAGAGCTTTAGTGTTTCTTTTCTGTATTTGCTTATGCACTATTTAACAATTTCCCACTTTTTTGGTATATTCTAGTGAATGTGAAAATTGCAAGCTTTGTTCTGGAGTTATGGTTTAGGTGGCATCAATCTCTGTGGATGTGTTTTCCTGAATACATTAAGGTTTGGATGAATGTAAATGTAAATTTCGTTTTGACATTTTGTTGTGCTATTTTATTTGCCTTATCACCCATTTATGGTGTCTTTTTTGAGATGCAGAATTTCTCAAATATTGATGGCTTGGATACAATTGATACAGAATTGCCCCTTATGTTTATTGAACCAGTCAATGCGTCAACTGTCTTGCAGATTACGTGAGTTTTTTTCTGTGGAGATTCCTTATTTACTTGTTTTGTGGCTTTTGTATGTGTCACCTTTATGTGTCTATAATTCTAAAGTTCCTTTTTCCCCTTTCTCTGAATCTATTAATATTTTTTTTGTAATTTTTTATGAATGGATTAATGCAACTGTTTTCTACAATCTTGAATATATGTGGTGAAGAATTTTTCATTGCCTCTGAATTTTGAGCCTTCAAATACCATCAAGTTTTCCCTGTGTAGTATGTTGTTGATTTAATATATCTTTGGAGAATGATTGCTGTCCTGTTTTAAACAGAATGGCTATTTTTCTAAAATCCTATTCTGTCAAATGCTTGTTATGAAACTGAGAGATTTGGAAAAGAAGGTTGTGAATAGAGTTACTGTCTATCTTATTTAAAAGCCTATATATAAGACAAAGGAGTAAAGAGTTATAATTGCAAAAGATACATATCGATCTTCCTAATTTTTATTTGTTATTTTTTTTTATTTTTAACTTCTAATTTCATCTGTTATCTGATGATTGTAGATGTTAAAGCATTTCCTGAAATTGGCCTTGCTTGTGTTCTGGGTTGGGAACAAAGTTTTTATTATGCTATCAAATTTCTTATTGTGATTTTTTTGGGATTGTATGATCAGGCGAAGTATGCATGCTATCAAGGAATTTAGGTTGCAATCTCTTAAGTATAGAGTTACCTCGTCCAATATATGGCGTAGCTCCAATCATGGGGCACATTTACCAAACTTTCTTTTATCTGCCGCACGCTCTCTTTTCCAGCGGGTAGTACTATTCTATACTTTATATTCTCAGGTGCTTCTTATCCAAATTATACCTTTTATTATTGAACTTACTCATCCTTGTTTTACTGCTTATATCCAGATTATGTATGCTCACAAAAAATCTTTTAACGTGGATCAATTTTCTGCAATGAAGTCACTCTTTTGTTCTTTCCAGAACAACATGGTTACAGTAAGTCCATTTTATGTTTTTATGGCCTATTTTTCTATTTAAGAAACACTAGTGTTTCCCCTTTTCTTAACAAGTGTTGGAATACACTCATTGAAGCTTTATCTGTTTCATTGTAAAATGTTCAAAGCAAATAAATTTGTAATTCTGAATAGATTAATCTGTGTCCAGCTTCTATCCGTGAACAAATTCCCATAGGTTAAATTGTCTTTAGATTTCTGTAGGCTTTTTGGAACATTAATTGCCCCGTTTGATGGGGGGGAAGAGGTTTTAATGGATGTGGAGATGGATATGAGCTTCTAAAATATGTTCGCTATGTTCATGGAATTGAGAGATTATTTTTATTTAATATTAATATTGATAATCTGAAAATACTAAAATGCCCTCATCCTCAAATTTTTTTCCTTCTAACTCAGATTTCAAAATCACCCTATTCTAGCGGCCACCCACTGTTGGAGAAGCAACAAAATCAAAACCAATGAAAAAACAATATAAATCAAAGGCCACAAACAATCCCTTGAAAGAAAAAAGGCACAATCAAATTAAAGAAATATTTGTTCAGAAACAAACCACTGTAACCATGAAACCATAGAAGAAGAGACAAAGGAGGAGAGGGTGGAAGTTACAGATGAAGGTCAGCATCACTTTGGAGTTCACGAATGGAGGTCTACGGGTTATGGAAGTTACAGATCTGGTTTTCATCCTCACTGTTGTTGATAAGAGAAGGGGAAGAAGATGAAGCAATGGAGGGTGGTGAAAGTGGAATTGGTGAAGGAGGAGCTCGATATAGTAAAGGGTGCTGCAGACAGAGTTGGTCAGTGAGGTAAATAGGTGCTGGAGGTTGCTAACGCTAGTTCCAGGAGGCTGCCAATGCTATGAAGTTCACCAGAAGTGGCTGAGAAGATTGTGGCGATGGGTGACAAGGAGGAGCAGAAACGAGAAAGGGAGGGGTAAAAATGGAATAGGGGACATGGAATTTGAAATCCTTGGGGGTTGGTATGGAAATTAATCCTATCAATTTTGGTAGAATTGGAAAATTTTCCTATTCCATCATGCCAAACAAACTATTTTTCAATTCCAATTCCATTTTCATATCCATATCCCCTAATTCCAGCACACCAAACAGGACCTAAGGAAAATTAAAGAAAATCATAATAGTAGTTATTGTTTATATAGTTTTTTTTTACCAACGTTATTGTTTACGTAGTTTACTGTGTAGGCTCGAGCACTATTGTTTGCATGGAAATTTATGCCATTCCTGCACTCTTGTTGTGCCACAGTTTGCTTTTGATTATGCATTCAATGCAGGGTGTTTCAAAATGTCTTGTTTGCCTTAGAGCTGTATGGCAGACTGTTACCCCTGCATTCCCCCAATTTTTCTCATCCTCTCATTTTGGCTGTTACTAGGAAGAGGTGATTGAGACTTTGACAACGCTTCTTGCTTCAACAAGGCACCACAGATTGAAAGATTTGGCTCATTCATGCATTGCTCCTCTGCTCAGAGATCTATATATTCATTCCACTGCTGTTAGTGAAGGTAATTCTTTGCTGCTGCTTCCTGCTTTTTAATTAATATATTTATATAGATTCTGTGCTTTTTTTGACGGCTACCAAATTTTAATACAAAATGGAGAAACTTAGCATGGAAAACGTTGATCATAGATTCATGATTTTATCTGATCTTGCATGTTTACCTCTTATCAATATATTTTTGTATTTGTATTTACCAATGGTCGTCTGAATATTTTGTAATTTAACTCACCTTTCTTTTTCAGGCTTCAACAGTAATCTTGGTTGTGCATGGCTACACATTGGGGGACTACGGTTCCGTCTCTTGCTTAGTTGCATGGATATTGATCCTGCTTTGAAGTCCTATTGCAAGTACTCACAACTGGTAGAAACAATCTCATCACTTGAACTTGAAATCCAGGTAACCTGAAAATCAGCTTTTGGTTTATTATCACGGTAGTCTAGTTAACAGTTGATATGACGTGAGCCTTTTCTTGCTTCCTTTTCCTTTGCAATATTTACTGTTCTCTTTTTGAGGCTGTCTCATTCATTGTAAAAAAGTATGCTTAGTTTGCTTGAAGTACTAGTCTACTCTCATAACTCCTTCTATGACAGTATTGACCAATGTCCTATCTGCTAAACTATTTCCAGGTGAGGAAAGAGTGCGGATATTTAGCGGGACAACTTTTAACAGGTGAAGCTGATAAAAGAAAAGCTAAAAGGCTGGAAAAACTTAAAGAAGAGTGTAGAAAGCTGGAAAGAAAGGTTTGAAGATTCTGTTTTTTCAATCCTGTTTCTTGTTCTTCATACTGTCTTCAAGATGCTTATTTAGTTGCTGTCTTCAACAGTTGTCATAAATTAGTTCTGAGTATTATTGTTGCAGGGAAAATAAAACGATTTTATTATTTTTCAACAAACTTTAGAAATATGTTCTTTATGATGTCATCTAGAATCAATGCTTTTTGAAAAATGTGAATTATGGTGTTCTGTTTAATCTTTCATCTGGAGTGCATTCTGTTACTTAATGACCTCTTGCAGTCAGAAGTTGGGTTCTGGACAAAGTTCTATAATTCAAATGTCATAAATTTGACTCTTTACCTATCTTTTATTCTTAAGTGATGAGAAGTTGATCAAATTGTCTTGTGCTTAGATTGTGTACCGATCTGAAGCTTGGAAATACATGGAGTTAATGGATGAATGTGCTGATTTTCTTAAACTCATTTTGTCATTGGAATCTATGGTGAGAAGTGCTGAGGCTGAAGAATTACCACTGGCTGTCAAGCAGGCATGCAATTGGCAGGTATAACTAATTTGGCTGTTTAATATATGTCTTCATTATTGAAGCCAAAGTATTAAATTTGCATTTTTAGTCTATAACATGAATAATGCTTTGAATATTGTTTCCTTTAAAATGCTTAGTGAAAGATAGCATTATAATTTCTTTGTTATTTACATCATATTAAAGATAATGTAATGTAATATTGCTTAAAGTTAGATAAAACAGTAATTAGGATTTCTATAGCAGAACGACATGGACAGGATCATTTTTATGCCATCTTTTTGGTGTTTAGCCCATGGCAGCTTTGAGGGGAAAATCCATAATAGAAATTTACAAAGGGATTGGAGACCCTTGGATTGATGATCCTGTCTTCGCAATTTCTCTTCTTTCCTCCTTTTATGCAGGATAAGCGATGGTCCTCTCAAATTTACAAAACCTCATTCCATGCTCATCATGAATCTGAGCCATTCAATTTAATTTGAAGGGTTCCAATTTATTTTATTTTTATTCTTATATTTTTAGTATTTTCAATTTGATAGATGCAGAATTTAAAATAAAGATAATTTTTAAACTCTCACTTTCTTAGAAAAGATAAATTTAGCCTTGTAAAAATTAAAATTGAAACTGTAAATCTGTACTATCCAAATTAGATTTAGATGGTTTAGATCTCATTGTAACAAAAAAGCATTGAATGAGGACACTATTTCTTCATTTCAGAAACTATCGATTTTCTTTGTTTAGCCATGCATACACCCTGCTGTGGAAACCTAATGAAATTCAATATGTGATATAAGTATATTCTGTCCAATTTATATATATATATTTCCTATTTTGAATTTCAGGAAACAGCAACTTGTTTCATTGACCGATTGACAGACGAATATAGTACATTTAACGATATAATTCAACCAATCCAAGTTGCTGTTTTTGAGATGAAATTGGGGTTGTCATTGATTCTGTCAAGTGCTATGGAAAATGCATATCTGAGTGGAGTTGGTCAGGAGAACAATAACTTTGTCATGGTATCTTTTCCCTGAATTTGGTATTTCTTTATCTATTTTCTTCTTTTGACTTGATGATTGACATTGGTTACACTCCAGGAAACTATTTACAACCTTATGAGATTTCCTCGTGGTGCTTTGAGCAAATTGATTTCTGTTAAGTACAATAGTAGTTTGGACATGCTGCCTTCATACAGACTAGATTCCAGCATAGGTTTTTATTCAGTGGATACAGGCATGCTGGAGAGGCTTGTTACTCTTTCCAGTGGCATTGCAGCTTATAAGAAGGTCTGTAATTGTAACCATATGTGTTTTATAATGCACAGAGTCAAGTTGTCTCGTTTTCAAGTTGGTAACTGAATCATAAAAAGCAGGTTTCTGCTATGCACCATAGAGCTGCTGCCTGGCATAATATTCTTGTTCAGATTGCACATTCTGTAGCAAACTCAAAAATATTAGATTGTGAATCCTATCTGGTCAGGTTCCTCTCCTTGTTTATTTTTTTCATTTTTTATGTCAATTAATTCATTCATATTGGTAGAAACAATTATTTGCTTACTTATTATATTGTATGCATCAGCTATTGGGGAAGATATTTGACGAATTTGCCAGGCTTTGGATGAGTGTGAAAGTTCAAGCGAAGTCAGAAAGGGATTTTGATTCCAAACAGTACAAGTTTAAACCTCGAGTTTTTCAAATGGAGAGTGTTATTGAAGTTGACATATCGACTTTGTCAAATTCGTTTGCAACGGAAACATTTTTAGAGTGGAAAGATTTTTCTGCTGAAGAGATATCCATTGACAAAGTAAGAGTCAAAATGAATGTCTGACGTTTTGTGTTCTTGTGAATATTTGTTTAGCTCCCCCACTCCTCATGCTATTCTTGTTGGGTTTATGAAAATAACTCTGTACATCTATCAGATGGAAGCTTCTGAGGCATGTGAAACATTAGTGGAAGAATGGAAGCAGCTGGAAGAGTCTATCCTGAGCAGTGTGGTTCTTATTCACAATAAGTTATTTGGATCTGCTGATCTTGTCCAAACTGTGAGTTCCAGTGGCTTTTTGTCAGCATAGACTAGAAAATAGAATATACTTGCCGATTTAGGTTTAAAAGATTCCGACCCTAAGTGCTAGTCCTAAGCTGAAATTTTTTTCCAAGGATTTCATGAGTTGTGGCTCAGCAGAATTTTAATAATTCACGATGATTTGGTTAGCATTGTTGTAGGTTGGTTAGTTTTTAGTTGACACCCAGGGGAAATTGAAATTTGTTGTGCCAAAAAAAGAAGGGCAGTTCTAACTTGCAGTCAGCTTTGCATTTTGTGTTTTGGTTTAGCATTTTTGCTAGATTAACAAATTAGTAATGTTTGTTTTGATTCGTTTTGCTTTCTGCTTGTTGAAAGACTTTCTATAAAAAATTGCAATTCAAAATAATTTCCATTATCATTACACTCCGGCGGGCCAAGTTTGGAATGTCGATTACTGTTATTGAACTGCATCTGATTGTTTGGTTCTAGGCACCAAGGAAATGATACTTTTTCTGTGTGGGTGTCTGATTTTTTCCCCCCTTAATGGATTGGTAAACTCTTTATCATGCATTGTCATATGATACTTTTTATTTTATTCAGCCTGGAACTTTCGAAGTTTCTGATGAGGATCGATTACTTTCCTTCTGTGACTCGTACACACTGGGTATTGATTTAATCAGAGGTAATTATCAATGTTTGCTTCCTGAAAATACTTATGAGCTCCTTCCAAGAATAGCTTATGTCTGTGCCACAATTTTCATTTTGCTTTGTTTTCTTCCCTTAGGTGCCCGGACACCACTCTTGTCCAGTTTAGATGCTAAACTCATGCCAGAGCACTTACTATATCTTTGTTTGGACTATGAGCGGAAGTTCCTCTCATTCCACAGATCTGCTGCGGGATACAATTTTTACAAGGTTTTGCCACCGAAGTTTTATTTGATATTTTGGGTCCCCTCTACCTTTTTTCTTTTTTCTTTTTTGGTTTTCTTCCCCTTTCTTTTTATGGTTGATTCCTGCTTGACCCTTGCTTGAAAATTTACTTAATTTCTTTTCTGGGATCAAGGATTCATATGCTTCTGAGATGGCAAAAATGGTGGAAGCACTCGCTCCTTTCCAGCAGAGGATTTTCTCGCTTAATGAGTTGCATGATCATGATATTCAGAAAATATCAGATATAATTGACATGCTCTTGAGCCTTCCTTCAGTGACTCCTTTGGCAAAGGTAATCCAGTAACAATCATAGCTACATCACTTCCAGTGCACGTTTCATTTACATTTTTTTTTTGAAACAAAACTATTAAGTCAACGCTCTTGAATTCTAATGCCCTGGGGTTCTCTTGCAATTGTCATCTAGCTGTCCTTCAATGGTCTATGCTTGTAAAAAGGTTTTAGATGAGTTTCCCATTGGTCTGTATTGAAGAGAAAATATGTGTCTTGTGATTATTTCATGCCATGTGCTCCTTACAAGAGTAGTAGATGCCATGAGCTCCTTTCAACTTTCTTCTGTTTTTATTTTTACCAGCATCGTTTTGTTTTTTGACTTTAGCATTTGTTTCCATTTAAAAGTTTGTGCCTTGAAAAATTGCATCCAGAAGCTTGCTGGTTTTAAGTAATAATATGCAAGGTTATCCATGATAGTCTCTCTTTTTTAGACTTTTTCAGGGTTGCTGTTCTTACTGCACAAGGCTCAAGCTATGCAAGAAAGTGGCTCAAAATTCTGCTTTTCACGTATGAAATTTCTTTTGATTGTTATTGCTGTGTGTTATTTGATGCCTATGTGTTAATAATCTCTTTTTAAATGGATTACAGGTGAATTGGAGCCTGTTTTTGAACTTCTATCCTCATGGAAAACGTTGGAACTGGAATCTTGGCCTGCTTTGCTTGATGAGGTGATGCATCAGTACGAAAATAATGCTGGGAAAGTAAGTGGCAATTGTCTTTCGGATTATTGCTGTTATTTCCAATTCTCTTATTATTATTATTATTAGCCTGAGTTATTTACAATTATCAAATTGGTTAAGTTACTGTTGTTCCATTGATATTAAAGGCTTGCGGGTGACTAGGTAATAAATATTGGTGCATCTTGCTGGCATTTTATATTCCAAAAGATCTTCTCTGCTTGATTTTATTCTAATTGTTGTCTTATTTAGTTAGGAGCACTTAGATTTCTTGATCCTTCCATGGTGTGTAGTAAAATTTATTTTGAGGTTGAATTCTTAGCCACTCTTGAAAGAAAGAAATTGCTTGATAATTTCTTTCAGGATCAAAATCTCCTTTGAAGATAAAGTCTTTTAATTTGACTGCATTGAATTAAGATTTTTGATATGTTTTGTTTTCCTGACAAGCTTCTTTCTCTTGATATGTGCATCATGTGTGGTTCTGATTTGGGAATATTTATCCAATTCTCTTCCTACCCCTTGCTCTGAGGAAGCACTTCCATGGAAATTTATTATCACCTCAGCATGAAAGAGTTACAAATGATTGTATTGTGATGGTTACGTGGTGGTGTGCTATTTTTATTGTATTCTTGCTGATTTATCAATGCTGTTGCCATTGCTTGGCTATTTTTCTTGACATGATCTATACTTTGTAGTTTGTTAAATACCTTAATTTTTCTTGAACTTGGTCGAAAGTTGTTAAATGAGACTTTTTAGTTAACAATGTTTCTAAAAGCTTGATTAATAATAGAGTGCCTGTCATTCAATCCAAGTAGTTAATCCTACCTAGTGAGATAAGACTGCTTGTTGTTGGTAGGAAGCTGGGGGACTACTGCATGTTGAATCTATACTAAATACATAATATTCGAGATGCATTTTTGTGCTTCTGGTTTCTTCACTTGGATCAGCAATACTCTTTATCAAGATCAATTTTAGAAAAAGGATCTAAGACTCATGACATTTTGAGTCTATTTTATGAGATGTATTGAAATAATGCCATGCTACGCAAATGTTTAAGTTATAGTTTTTCTCTTAAATACGCATGCTGTCGAGAACCCTATCAATAAGTATATGTTATCTGGAATCCGAGTTTATTATTGTTCTGGAGTCTTAGTTATTCTTTATCATTGCTCTTACGATATTCTTTTGTTTTGTTTTCTTTTTATGGTGATAGAAGCTATTCTTTGCTTATCTCTGTGAACTGGGAACAAAATTTACAATTCACAGGGATAATATTCCCTTATTTTTAAAGAACATTCTACCTATTTGTCTGTGGGAATTGCTTATTTTTCCTTTCTTTCTTTCCTTTCTTTCTTTTGTTGCAGCTGTGGTTTCCTCTGTATTCAGTTCTTCAACCCAGTTCTTCTGATCAATCAGTAGTTCAGAGGCATGTGATAGATTCATATTCAATCTGTTAACAAGTTTCTTCCTTTGCATTTTGTGAAAATGTTTTGTTGAGTTGCTTTTTAATCTTGCAGCCTGGAGGATTTCATTCACACGTCCAGCATTGGTGAATATCGAAAGCGTCTTCAGCTTCTTTTTGCTTTCCTTGGTCAAAATCATATTGGTGCAAGCTTGAAAGAAAACACATGGTATCATTTTTGGTTTTAACAGTTCATTATTGTAAAGTGTTATGAGAACATAGGAAATTTAGAACAGTGCTGGTTGTCTACCCAAGTATATGGTATAAATATAGTGTTGGTTGTACTTGAGGTGACAGGCCAGTGTTTTATTGGCTTTTTCAAAATACATTTCTTTTATTTTTCTCTCAACAATTTCTGAAGCTCAAGAATCAAGATTTTTTTAAAAAAATAAGCATGAAAGGATTTCTGATAATCTAGTCAAGAAAGGAATGTTATAGCAGACGTTGAGTTTCCTTTTATACTTTCAATGGAGGCTAATTGATAACTTTTGTGTAACACCCCTTTCATATCATTTGTGTCCTGTCTTCTTCTGCTTGACGGTTGATGTTCAGATTGGGGACCTTTAACCCAAGCTTAGACTCCTAGCCACTTGTTCAAGTGGCTGACACAACATATCTTAATGGGCCTATGTAGCAGAAGAACGTTTGATATTTGTAAACTTGTTACGAAAATTTTCCTTACTGATTTTGTTAACCTGTGAACTGTGCAGTCCTGGGTGGATGGAACATTCCAAGTACTTGTACAATATTTTTGGATTTTATGTCCAGTTCTTACCAATGTGAGTCACTCTGTTATTCATATATTTCCCGCATTTTGTATTTTATCTTTGACCTTATTACATGTCTGTTGGTGAGTAATTATATGAGTAACTGCAGAGTAATGAACTACATTGACATGAGTAAGAAAGAAATTGTAGCTGAACTAAAAGCACTGGTGAAACTGTGTCGGTGGGATTGCACCAAGAGTTATTTATCCATGGAGAACTTGAAAAAGAGTCGGCAGAAGCTTAGGAAACTTGTACAAAAATTTACTGTAAGTGTAAAGCCGTTGTTTGCATTTGCTGAAATGCAATTTTTTTCCTGCATTCCCCATTTTCCATGGTTTTATTTTAGGGCCAAACTATCAGCCAATAAATGAACAATTGAGTCAATTTAGCTTTTCTTTTCATTTCAATTGTCCAGATTGATAGCTTAATTTGATATCTGTTTGTGATGTATTGCAAAAAGCAGTGCTTTACATTTTAACATTTTTTGTCTGTTGAATAGCTGTTTTTTTTGGGTCAATGAGTAGGTTTGATAACTTCTCAAAAGATTATGTTTTTTTCCTTGTTATGATTTTGTTGCTGCTCTGGTAAATATTTATATATTATAATTTTATTAAATTTACGGTCTAGCTGATGCACCATTAAGTTGAACAGCTGATCTTTGGTCATGCAGAAGCATCCTTCTTTGTTCTGATGAATAGAAGACCTAAGACATGATATCCCTGAATTTTCTTATGCTTCTTCTGAAATGCTATGACTTTGGTTAGTGGCTTTGGAATAGGCTCTTAAAGGCAAAAGGCACTTTAAAGTACTTGACTGGACGCTTCAAAGATGCCCACTTGAGTGATGTAAGACACTCATGCAAAAAGAAGAAGAAGAAGAAGAAGAAGAAGAAGAAGAAGAAGAAGAAGAAGAATGCTATATAAACAAGAAGAATTTGGAAAAAAAAAAAGGACGTAATCGTTTCAAATGAAAAATAATTTCTTACACTCTTCTCTTAAATTTCTAATATGGCTGTGTTGGTAATTATAGTTTCTTGTTTCTCATATTACCAATTTTTTTTTTTAATAGATTATAGTGTTGGATTGGGATTATGAGTTATTTGCACAAATAGAGGTGGCTAAGGTGCACACTTGGAACGATGGAAAAAGTTCCAAAAGAACTCTCCTTGCGATGCCATTTTGAATGCTGTGCCTCTCATGATGTGGGAGGTACTGACCATGAATAGTTCCTTGTCCTAGTGCCTTAGGTGCTAAGGCAAACACCTTTGTCATCACTCTCTTTGGCCTGATCAAAGGGTTTGCCCACCTACCTATGGTTGTATTGATTCTGTTCAGTTTGAAATTCTTATGGGGAGGAGGAATGGATACTAAATTTGTCGTAGAATTTGGAGTGTTTGACTTCAGCATATAGGTGCTAGGGCTTTTAGTCAGTGTTTTCCCTATATTAGATCATTAGAAACTGTTATGGCTTAGATTTAGTCTTCTGGATCCTTTGAGCATTAAACCAATGTTATTTTCAGGAACGACCTGTTTTTTTGGATATGCAGCTCTATTGAGCTATAGTTCTCTCTTTCTATAATGTTTTCCCCCTTCTTCTTTCCTTGCTTCATGGAGCATTTCTGAACTTTTTTTCCTTCCATATGTTAAAATCAATTATTTATTCATCAAATGCATATTTAAGTCCATTACTAGTTGTAAGGCATTTATGTGCCTAAAGTGGTGGCAGGCATTGCTCTAAAGTGGCACAATGTTTTCAAAGGAACTGGTTTTCTTTGTCGCGCACCTTGGCTAACATCACTGAATTCTTCTGATCTTTCCTTTTTCTTATTGAAGGATATTCTGCAAGAACCTGTGCTGATGTTCCTTAACCAAGAAGCTTCACTTAAGAGAGCAAACAGTCCATCTTTTCATGGTCATAAGCTCATCTCTGATGTATGGAACAAGGGCTCGTTCAGTATTGATTGTGATTTGACATATTTCAGTGATGAGAACAGGTTATCTCACTGCTGATTTTGCATCCTCTATTGTTTAGTGTTTTGCAGTTCTGAGTTTGCTGACATGTCTTTTATGATGCAGGTCTATATGGTTTGGAGAATGCAGCAAAAAATTAGATAGTGTTTTGCAGAAGTTTCAGGTTAAGAAAAAAGAACTATTTGACATTTTATCTCCACATTGGAAGAATTTTGAAGGTTTTGTTTTTCCCCTTCTTTGCCTTTTTGCTTTCTCTTTGCTTTGTTGGTTGTGTTGGTGGTGTTACGGATTTGATTGTCCTTGTAGATTCTGGAAGTATATTTAGACCTTGTACTGGTTCCCAGCATGCAAATCTGTTTTATGCGGAAAGATGGAGAACAATTTGGGATATGATTGAGAATATATATGTAACAGCAGTGGAGTGCGGTCACCTTTGGAAGGAAGAAAGCAAGAGTCGAGGCAAGAGAAGGGCTTTGTCTGCACTTCTTACGCTTTTAGAGAGTGGTGGTTTGTCACGACACAAGACTGCATATTCGGAGGTGTGAAACTTAATTGTCTGGATTTATGAATGACCTGATTTGGTTCTATTCAGATATGCCATAACTTTCATTTTTCTTATTTTTTCTCTGCTTTGTGATTATTTATACAGGGTCATCATAAGCCTTGGTGGTTCCTTCAGCACTCTAGTGACTTGCAACACTTGTTGCTGACAAATAGTAAACTACCTTGTGCAACCTCAGAAACTGCAGCTGGGGTTCAGAAAAACAATGTACTTGAAGAAAGCTCTGTTATGGAGTGGAAATCAGCCATTGAACTTTACTTTAAGAGTGTTGTGTCTGTGCTTCGTTTACAGCAGATTTGCCTCAATCCTCACAAAGATATAACACGTGAACAGGTAAATATGAATGTTAATTTTATTGCCTACTACTTACTGGCTTAAATTGGAGTCCAAAGAATAAACGCTAAGGTTGCATTATTTATTTTTAGCTGTTTTTTCTTTACAAGTCATGGAATAAACCCTACCTTGTGCAGCCGCCTTCTTCTTCTTCTTTTTTTTTTTGGGGTGGGCTTTCTTTTGTAATTTAGTTTGTGAATTTTTCATCCCCACTTCATTGAATGGCCCTTGCATTATGATATGCAATATTGGACTGGGTCACCTTACTGCATTGCCTTGCCTATGCACTGTGATGATGGTATTGGAAGAAGGGAGGGGTGAGGACCCATCGTTGTTCTGTGCCTTCTGAATCATGAGTAGTTTCTTCAACTTTGCCTCTTATATCTGAATAATTTTTGGCAGGTTGACAGGTCAGGTTCTTTCCTCAACCAGCTGGTTCAAGTGCAACAGAACCAACTTGCTGCTGCCAATGGTTTTGATCAGCAGTTGAAACGCTTGAGAGAATGCGTATCTACTTTGAAGAAGTTGTGTTCATTGTCCACCTCCAATGATAACAGCACTGTTTATGAGTGCTTTATTCCAAAGCAGCTCGCTGCCTTTAAATGCATGTGGCAACAAAAGGTAACTGTTCTCTTTACAATGCCATTTGGACATGTTGATTCTTGTGACTCATTCGGATTTCAATGTGATCTTGCTTGACCTTGCAGCAAATTTTTGATAGTCTGTGTGCTACATTACAAGAAGAATTACTTTTGCTAAGGACATATGAAAAAAGCCACTTAAGCACTTGTGAAAGTGTCAGACCTTCAGTCAATCACATGATTGCTTCCATAGAAAAGTTTTTACCTCTGTTCAGTCGTTCCAAGGTGCATACCCTGTCTTGGTTGTCATGTGCTTTAAATTAGTACTATTTCCTATTGCATTCTATTTATGGAGACTTACTTACAGGAATCATTAGATTATTACCTTATTGGGGGAACAAAAGCCATCACTCTAGTGACTTCTACCTCACATTCTTGCTTTGTTACTGAGGAATTGGAACGGTCAGTCTCTGAAAATTTCAATGCTATAAAAGATTTTAAGGAGCACTTGCTAGGGTCACAGGAGAAAGATCTGGATAGAAGTTCAGTGAGAGAAATTTTGAATGATCGTTTTCGAGAAATAATTGAAAAGGTGATATTGTCTCTCCATCCGTCTGCTGAATCTTGATGTGTAACTTGTCTTTCTTATCTAAGCACAAATCGCTTCTGACATAGCAGTAATAAACCTTAGTAATTCAGATTGGAACACGTGGTTTAACTTCTTTGCGTCCTCTGCAGGCAATATTAGTTGAGGAAGAGTTTACCTCTGCATTAAAGGTCAATTATGTGCTAGGAGATTTATCTGAAGTGGGCAGCTATTGCAAGAGGAACTCTGCAGTGCCAAATGCTGGATTTGATGAAATCCTTAACTCTACATATGCACATATTGAAGAAGTAATTGAGAAATTATGTTCTTCGAGCACCATCATGGTGGCTGAAGAGTCCATCAATATAACTTCATGGAAATTGCTATTTGTTGACTTTGTAGCGGATCTCAGATTAGACGTACTATGTGATTTTGTTTTCAAGACAATCACTTTTGGTGTAAGTTCTGTTCAGTTTCATGTTATTTGAGATTCTTTTATTGTTAGATGACTAAAGTGGTGATTATTTTTTGTGTAGGAGAAGCCAGTGAATTGTTCTGACAATGAAATTTACAGTTCTTATACACTTGGGAACCATACGAGAGATCTATATATTTTAATGGATCTCATATTGAATTTTGGTGATGAGCTCTTGAAAAACTTCCTAGCCATGCACAAATCCGTAAGCTTAATACTCAGTCTCCTCGATTTATATTTGTAGTTTTTTTGATGTCATGTATCTTGTGTAATTTGATTTCAAAACTTAAGCATTTTTTATTGCAGAGTTACTTGTTTCTAAATTTAGTGGGACTGAGGTGCTGTCTGTTGTGGGTGGCAGGTATCAGTGACAACTCGTGTGCTTGCAAATGTTTTAGCTTCGTTATATTCAAAAGGTTATGGAAATTCAACTGAAAACCTGGAGGATGATGGAACCGTCAATACATCAGAAAATGCAACTGGGACAGGTATGGGGGAGGGTATTGGATCGAAAGATGTCAGTGATCAGATCACTGATGAAGATCAGCTGCTGGGAACTCGTGGACAGGTCTGAATTAGATCTTTTTTCACTTGGCATGATTTGATAATATTGTTGTCTATTATCTTTGTATCATGTTTTACTAATTTTGATTCTATGGCAGAGTGATAGTCAAGGTGACTCCAGTGAGTTGCCTGGTAAGGATGATAGGGGGATTGAGATGGAGCAGGATTTTCAAGCTGATGCTTACAGCATCAGCGAGGATTCAGGAGAAGATGAAAGTACAGATGCTGAGAATGAGCAGCTAGAGTCTGAAATGGGGCCCACTGGACCTAACAGTGATGCAGTTGGGGAAAGAGCTTGGGATAAGAATGAAGATGAAGCTCTCAATGATACAAACGAAAAACATGAACCTGGACCGTCAATTAGGGATAGAGATAGAAGCAGTAGGGAGGTTAGAGCCAAGGATGACCTTGTGATTGATGAACATGGGAAAGCTGATTTTGATAAACTTGATGATCAGAGTAATGAAATTGGAAGCCCAGATGACATTGGTGATGAGCAAACCACAGATGCGGTCAATCTGGAGAAAGAAGCAGCAGTTGATGATCCTAATAGAATGCAGCCTAGTGAGTTGGAGCAAACCTCCGATATGGACACGGATATTGATATGGATAGGATGGCGGAGGAGGAATTTATGGAAGAGGGAGATCGTGGGGAGCAAGATGAATCAGATGAAGATGCAAACCAAGATATGAAGCATGATGAGGAGACATTTCCACCTGATGAAATCATGGAGGATGCCCATACTGATGTTGGTGTTAGCTCGGAAGAGGATAATCTAGGTGGAGACCATGAAGAAAATGCTGAGACTAATTTCATGGATGAGAAGAAAAATATATCTGAACCAGGATCCTCTGACTTGGTTAATGAGCAAGTGGCCCCTCTTGAACTAGCATCACAGGCCAATATTGATTCACAGGCATCTTCTGAAAATATAGCTGCAGCTGAAGCAAATTGGTCAAACAGCAATCAGAGCTTTGACAACCCTACTCTCTTAGGAGGCTTGCCTTCTAGTAGTATGACTAAGTTGGATCTTAAGATATCAGACTCATCAAATACTGGGGGATTCACTGAAAATCAAGCTAAGTCTAATTTTCCACAGAATGAACACTCACATGTTCAAGAAAGGCTACCGCTACCCAACCCATATCGAAATTTAGGTGATGCACTTGAGGAGTGGAAAAAAAGAGTTGAAGTACCTTGTGATCTTCCTGCAGATAACACAGAGAAACCAGGTGAAATGGAGGATGAAAATGCTGAGGAGTATGGTTTTGTCTCTGAGGTTGAAAAGGGGACAGCTCAGGCTATGGGGCCTGCTACATCAGATCAGACAGACAGAAACATTGATTTTAATAAACTTGATCAAGAATTTCATAATGCGGAAAAAGATGAAGAATTGAAGTTTGAGAAGCAGAGTTCTGACATGCAGTCTATAATTAATTCTACTTCAATCCCAAAAAATGAGAAAAGGGAGCATTTAAATGTCTCCGGTTCAGAGAAGTCACGTGATGAAGGACCAGTGAAAACAAATGTTACGGAAGATGTTTATTTAGAAAAGCATTCAGATGATCTGATCTCTCTCAAGAAATCATACTTCAGTGAAGATATACATAAACTAAGCCAACTATCTGTGGACGACAATGATTTTGGTAAAGCCCATGATGCTCAGGATGTTCCCACTGATGTGAAAGATAAAGCTACTGCCCTTTGGAGAAGATATGAACTTAAGACAACAAAATTGTCTCAGGAGTTGTCAGAACAACTGCGCCTTGTTATGGAGCCCACCCTTGCAAGTAAACTTCAAGGGGATTTTAGAACCGGAAAAAGGATCAACATGAAGAAGGTATATTTGATATTCTTTAATTACTTTTGTATATTGTTAAAGATAATGATTGCTTGAAAGAAGTAATTTATTTATCTTTCTTATTTTTAATTAAAAAAACCCAGGTGATTCCATTCATAGCGAGTCATTATCGTAAAGATAAGATATGGTTGAGGAGGACTCGACCCAACAAACGTGATTATCAAGTTGTTATTGCGGTTGATGACTCAAGTAGTATGTCAGAGAGTTGCTGCGGAGATATTGCTATTGAAGCCTTGGTTACAGTATGTCGTGCCATTTCTCAACTGGAAATAGGGAGCCTGGCAATTGCAAGTTTTGGAACGAAAGGAAATATAAAATTACTCCATGATTTTGACAAGCCCTTCACAGGAGAGGCTGGAATTAAGGTTTGTGGATTGACAGTCTTAATGTTATTATGTATATCAACAAAAAGATCTAATTGTTTGTTATTATTCTGGATGCAGATGATTTCTAATTTAACATTTGAGCAAGAGAATACAATTATCCATGAGCCAGTTGTTGATCTGTTGAAGTTTTTGACTAACAAGCTCAATTCTGCGATTGCTAAAGCACGACTTCCATCTGGGCATAATCCTCTACAACAGCTTGTTTTGATCATTTCAGATGGTCAATTTCATGAGAAGGTAATTGATATAAAGTTTTTATGCATTTCCAACTAATTTTTTATGCTACCTTCCTCCATTGCTGGTTGTAAATTTTAATCCATCTAATTCCAGGATAATTTGAAGCGCTGTATTCGAGATCTCTCAATGGGAAATCGAATGGTCGTTTTCTTGCTTCTGGATAATTCTCATGACTCAATTATGGACCGCACGGTATTTTTTCGTTTGGCTGAGTGATTTTTGCAAGAGTATAGATCACTTCAGTTTTCACATTATGACTTCTGATTCTGAACTGTAGGAAGCATCTTTTGATCGGAATGGGAAAATGAAGCTTTCAAAGTATATGGATTCCTTTCCCTTTCCTTATTATATTGTTCTGAGAAACATTGAAGCTCTGCCCCGGACTCTTGCAAACTTACTTAGACAGGTAATGATATTTTCTTAACCATCTCTGAATTTTATGATTCAATCTGTTGTTGTTGTAAAAATTAACATTCTGATTCATGATTTAAATTGCATTTCAACAAATTTGAACCAAACTTCCTGACTCAACCCAATGGAAATAGGAAAAATAGATAAAATTGAAGGGTTTTCAATGAAAGCTTGATGTATGAGTGTAATTCTTTTTGTAAAAGTATGTGTTTATCTATTTGCCATATTTTCATTAAAAATGTCGTGTGATAAACACTTGAATAGAAACGAAAGTGAAATTAAAGAGCAGTTATTGTTATCAACAAATTAAGGACTGATATTTGTTGTCACCTTTTGTTTCGTTAATCATTTTCAATTTGTTGACCTTTTTCAGTGGATGGAGCTTGTTCAGAATTCAATGGGATGAGATTGCTTGAAGACTTGGCAAGAACACAGGCTTTTCAGATGTGAAAAAATGCTTAGATGCGAAATTTTGTTTGCTGTAAATGTAAAAGGAAAATTTTAAAAGAAATGATACGGGTTGAACAAGTATGGGAAGAAGGCAAGAAGCATTGTTTTTCCTTGCTATTTGTGTAGCATTGACAAAAAATTCAATATAGTGACGATTATTTTCAATGTCCAAGTTCTATTGTTTTTATTATTTGATTTAGCAAAATTTTCGTAATTAATTGTGTATACTATAATACGCAGCTGACAATATATCTTGATACATTTGATTAGAAATAATCGACTTTTCTTATGTTTATGGTTGGTGAAGTATAATATATGCCTATTATTGTACATGTATAGTTTTTTAATTGAGGGAAAAATAATTTACATTCATATATTTCAAACGACTGTTGTCCATATACATGTATACTTGTCCATAATCATAATAGTATTAATAAATGTTATTTCAAGTATGTGTGTGTGTATATATATATATATATGTATGTATGTATATTAAGGAAGATAATGTGAAAATGTTCCAAATGATATACTATTATGATTATGCGTAGGTGAATGTTGAACTTAGAAAGGCTTAAGGACTGTTATATGTATGACTATTAAACAATCTTATTTAAAAATAACTGTTGGTTTAATCTTATTGAATATATTTGTTAAATATTTAGTATACTTGAAGCAAATGATCTCCAATTTTATATTTGAGCAAGAGAAAACAAATGTCAATTATAATATTTTGTTGAGAAGTTCTTGAGTGACAAGTTAACTTACACCTTCTAGTGATGTTCAGGATAAAGCTATTAATCCGTTCAGAGAAGTCACGTGATGCTCAGCACGTTCCTAGTGATGCAAAAGATAATACTATTGGTCTCTAGAAAAGATGTGAACTCAGGATGGCAAAAGTGCAAAACAAGAACATTTTGTTGAAAAAGAATGGGATGAAATTTATTAAAAAAAGAACAAAACAAGAATAGCAAAACATGCACATATTCATGAGGGACATGGATAATTTAGCTTATGAAGTTGGGAGTTATAATTTCTGAGGTTTGTGGTAGGGGTAATGATTCCTAAGTTTTTTCATGTTTTTCATGAGGAATTAAATAATTTAGTTTTTTTTTATTTTTTTTAATCCATTCCATTTTTTTTTTCACAGGGCTCTTAAAAGTTATCAGAACTGTGCTTGGAGCTCATTACTGCAAGTGAGCTGGGGATTTTAGAATTGGCGACACGATTAACACAAAGAAGGTAGATTTGATATTCTTTTAATCCTTAGATATATATATATATATATATATATATGGTGATAAAAGTAACAACTTTTGAGAAACAATTGTCACCTTTTCTTACTTTTTGAGAAACTCGAGTATACATAAGTGAAAGGAAGACTGACCCAACAAATGTATACCAGGTTGTTGTGGTTGATGACTCAAGTAGTATTGAGTTGCTGGAGAGAGACTGCTATTGAAACCTTGGTCGCAATATGGATTGATGTTTCTCAACCGGACATGTTTAGCCTGACAATGACAAGCTTTTGGGGAGGAAAGGAAATAAAAAACAAGATAAAATTATTAAAATATTTAAGTGTAAGTGGACCTAAGACAATGTAGAAGCCTTACATTGGGCAAAACTTGGGTTTCAAAGATCCAAAAACTTAAGTTTTAATATTTTGACTTAAGATGTGATGACCCTTATTATTATTTGCTCATTTATTCTGTCCCTCCCATTTTTGGGTGATTGCTCCCTATTCCTATAACAAGTAGTACTAGAATTAGATTTTACATAGAACCTTCTCCATTTCAGGACTTGTATGTGTCATATCGGTTTCTTAATAGTCATTTCCCATTGTCCACAAAAATTTACTCTTCGCCGGAAGAGCTGGGATTGAGGTTAGTAGATTAAGTATCTTATACCTTGTTTCTTTGTGCATATAAGGATCCAATTGTTGATTATTATACTGGAAGAAAATGATCTCCAATTTAAGATTTGAGCAAGAGTATCGATTGGGGAGATGAGTCATTTGCTGGCATGTTAAAATTAATTCGTGATTATGACAAGCAAGATTCAGGTTTATATCTGGGCGTAATCCACTTGAACAACTTGTTTTGATCATTTCATTTGGTCAGTTTCAAGACAAAAGTTAATTGATATAAAAAATTTTATACAAATTAAAGTGCCCTCATTTGCTTTCCTAAGCAGAAGACGCGTCCTTCATCAAGAATGAACTCTTAGAATAATGAAAATATATGCAAAAACTAGAATTTCTGGAAAACAACTTTATTCTGTCATGCACTCATCATGATATTCATGTTTGTGGAATTGAAATTTCTTCATTTACTTTTATAAAGTAACATTCTCTGGGTGGGTCCATAAACCCACTTAATAAATGGTCCATAATTGGAGGCTACTTCAAACTGATATTCTACGTACTTCTTGGGTCACTAATACTTTTTTTTAAAAAAAAAAAAGTAAATTCCACAGCAGTTTATATATTATTGCATTAGGTAGACGTGCATGCTTATTTGTTAAATCTTGAATATATTTACAAAATAATAATGCAATAATAAAGAGGACATGAACCACATGGGACGCGTAGTTCCAAAGCCAAGAGATAAGAGATTTGGAAGCAAAGATGAATTCTTTGACACATTATCAGAAAAATAAATTCGTATTCGTTTATTTTTAGAAAGTCACTTTTTTTCCCCCGGACGTGTCTGTCAAATTAAACGCATTAATATATTAGTGGTGGTTATTAATTTGAACATATTCTTTCAGGAGAGATTATTATAACTCTATATGGGGAATATATTCTTTCTGAATTGATCAATATATGTATATAGTTGTAATGGAGTACCCATTAACGCAAGAATAAACCAAACAGAACTAAATTCGACACATGCATTCTAATTATCAAATTATAACATTGGTTAATAAAAATTAAATATTGCAGTAAACACAAGGATTAATTTGAATTTAGATGCATTACACTCAAATAAATTTGGCTTTATTATTTAAATAATGAAGGAAAAGATGAAAATGAATTCTGCATATGATTTTGGGGAATATAATAACTGTACAAAAGAATTTTGTCCGTCTAGATGCTGTTCGCAGTGAATAGTAATTCACTTCAGTAAAGATATATATGATTGTCTTTACGCTAATTGCAGAAGAATAGTTGCAGGCTTCTTGAAGCTAATATTTTACTTTACATAAAGATTATATCTTATAAAGTAGATTCTACACTTGTATAAGATTACATACGTTTTACTTCTTTATTATTAAAAAAAGCTAACATTAATTTCCTTGAAGCCAAAAAAAAAAATTGTGGCAAAGAATGTTTCTGCATGTGTGAGAAAAAAAAATCGTTGTTAACATTTTAATACCATCTCTTCTCATAGTTTTGATCAAATCACATTTACATTTTTTTTAAATAATAATAATCAAGAACCTCTATACATATTTTATAGCAAAAAAGGACTAAAACAATCTAAATTTACACTGTAGGATCGGTAGACTAAAATATAGTTAAGTTTGAGTGTGAAATGATAATACTACTCTTTTTTTTTTTTTCTAAAAAAAAAAAACAAAGGTCAACACCAAAGCTATGGTGCTGGCGACAATTTTAATTGATTATTGGTCACTTAAAAAGCTCGAGGCCACCAAACCCATTTAATCAAGTAAGGCAATATATCTATATATGTAGTAATTCAAGTCTTTAAAGCACTTTCACGTTATAAAATAACTGTCTTGTTAATGATTTGAGCAACACTTTTTATTTTATCAATGTTACTCATTAGCAGTGACTTGTTCATATATTTTACAATTTCTTGTAAATTTACATTTAAATGTCATTAAAATAATGTGTTTAGTATTCAATTAGTTTCCAAAACACATTTTTTATAATATAATGGTGACGTATTAATTCATGAACAGTACTTGTTATTTTATTAATATTGCAAATATATAAAATTTAATTTTGGGGGATAACTAAGCTTACCACGAAAGTTATAGAAAAATATTTTATAAAATTTTGAAATATCTAATCTAACTTAAAAATGAGTATAAATAAAGCTGGTGATGGATAAGTTTTCCTCTTATTCATAGAGATGATAACCATTGGTGTTTAATTCGAGCCATCTATAAACAACCAAAAACTACTGCTGTGGAGGTTATAGCTGGCTTCATCAAATAACCCCTTCTAAATTTGATATTTTCATATCTTGCAATTTTGCCTTCCAAGTTCATAATTTTTTTATTAAATTTACAACTCTTTTTTTTTAATTTTAACATTGGGAACAAATTGTATTATATAAAAGTACTAGTTTTAAAAATCAGTGAGTTTGATATCAATTTCACTATATTTTTATCCAATTTTTTTAAACACGTGGAAATAATTTTTATTTAATTTGATATCATGAAAAAATACATGTATATGTCACACTTTCATTGACAAAAGTAACATAATTTAATGTACATTTGTAGAATTTACAAAAAAATAATTATTAACATCTTTGTCTGACATAAAATTCAAATATTTTCCACGATTTAACCTTGAACCAAGACCAATATTGTGAGTCTCCCAATATAATGGTTTAGCATCTTTTGTAAGCATGCTGTAATTTTTTTTCTTTCGAGAAAAAAAAAAAAAAAAAGAAGCCACGTGATGCGTCTCCCGATAACGATAATGGAAAAACAAAGAAAAAAATACTTTAGCTTTTTTGAGGAACAAGGAAGGAATTAATTAACAACTTGTGTGTTACGAATGTTACAAAAAGACCCGGCTGCTTTATTGCTGTTATTTGCCGATGCTATTTGCATGACCGTCCAAATATAGTAAAGATACGGCAACAAGAAGAAAACTCATGCTATGAGATGTGCCGTTTTCTAAATTGCACAATATTATTATACTTTATTATTGAATATTTGATAATTCATATTTTTATTTTTATGGTTAATAATTATTTTTAAATAATTGATAGTTAAATAGATTATTTTAAATTTGTATTCTATGTCTTTTAAAATTAAATTAAAATAATTTTGAAATTAAAGAAAAATTATGTTGCAAAACCTTCAGACCGCCGAGATCAAAATAGCAGCACAAGGAGCCAGATGTGGATTCTATGAGTGAGTGTCACATTCAATTGTAGGAATTTTATCAAGGCTTGAAAATTTATGCCTTAACCAGAAATAAATGAAACATGACAGTTATATGTGGGTGCATTTCAACCATTTCTCTACAATTTTATAAACGGTTGGATTAAAATATAACGCAACACTGAAAAGTAAAGCTGTCGTTCAATTAATTAAATTGACAATTTCTGCTGTGCCACGTGGGACTCTCACAGAATCAAGATCCCAAGTACCAGCTTCCGTGACAAAAAGGAGACGTTCTATAAATAGTTAACAAGCAAACGCACGCATATCCATCAACAACACAAGAGAGACGACGTACAGAAGTCGTGAAAATGGAGAGAGGTCATAATGAAGAAGAAGAGAGAATGAGAGATCTCTACGATGCATCCCGCAAAGGGTGTGTTTCAGATTTGAACACACTACTCCAGCAAGATCCATTGATGTTGCACAGAGTGAGCTCATGCCCAACCCTCAATGAAACACCCTTACACATATCAGCTTTACTTGGCCACCTTGAATTCACCAAAACCCTTCTCCATCACTGTCCCAAACTCGCCCTTGAGTTGGACTCCTTACGAAGAACACCTCTCCACTTGGCTTCTGCAGAAGGACACGTGGACATTGTGAAAGAACTCTTGCGAGATTCTGCTGATCATGCATGCCTGGTTGGCGACCAAGAACACAGAATCCCTTTGCACTATGCAGTTATAAGAGGCAGAAAAGACGTTGTGTTGGAGCTGGTTAGAAGAAAGCCAGAGTCTCTGAGGTTCCACGATGACAGGGGCAGAAATGTTTTCCACTTGTGCGTGATGCACAATCAGTTGGACATCCTGAAAGCTTTGGTGGCTTTGGATACTCATGACACTAACAAGCTTCTCACTGAAGGAGACTTGGATGGCAAAAACACCGTTCTACATTTGGCCATCATGTTAAAACAAGTTGAGGTACTTTTTACTATTTTTTTTAATAAATATGAGGGAAAAAAAAAACTCCTTTGCCATTCCTGCACTATGTGTACGTCATATAAAGGAGGTAAGATTTGGTAGACTCGAAGAAAGTCCAGTACTTGTCCAATGATTTGATACTTGCTTTTTCAGGATAAAAATATTAAATTGATTTATAAATCGGTTCTGTCATATACGTGTGTGTCACAAGCATGAGATAATATAAACATGTCTACTTGTTTATTGTTTACAGACTGTGAGTTGCCTGATTTCAATTCCGAAAGTAAGATCAGAAGCAACGGAGTTGAAGAACAACGTGGGTCATAGTGCGGCTGACATTGTTGAGCAAATCCCACGGGACTGCAAGAGCCTTGAAATTCAAGCGATACTGATGGAGTGGGGCATCAAATTTGGGAAAAAGATCAGTGTTGGTGCTAGAGAAGAAGAGGACAGATCTGGGAATTCAAAGTGGTGGTCGATGAGAAATGTTGTCGCATGGATGAAACAGTGGATCCATGGTGATGGTGAATGGGTACAACAGATGAGAGCGAATCTAAGTCTGGTACCAACCATAGTCGCAACCATAACGTTTCAAGCTGCAATAAATCCTCCAGGAGGCGTGGTTCAACAAAATATAAGATCACCAGATCTCGGCAACAACAGCGACACTTCATTTAAAACACTCAAAGAAGGACCACTGGGCTGCTCGCCGTACAGAACTAGCAATGGCTATAATGATGAAATATGTCCCGGGCAAGCCCTACTTGCTTATAAGTATCCAATATCATTTGGAAAATTCATGATTTACAATGACATCGCTTTTGTTTCGTCTCTGGTTGTTGCCTTCTTGCTTCTGAGTGGAATCCCTCTGAAAAGTAAGTCTATGATGTGGGCGCTCATTTTAGGCATGATTTCAAATCTCACATTCCTATTAAATGCCTATTTTATCAGCCTCTATCTTATCAGCCCATATGTCACTGACGACGACAAAATCGTAACCAAAACCTCTTGGATCATTAATGGATGCCTTGGCTTTATTGCTCTGTGCATCGTGGTGACGCGGGTCACAGCTAAGATTTCTAAGAAACGCAACACAAGGGGCTCATCAGCAACAGGGATGGAAACGTCTCAATCAGTTACTACTGCATGTTAGGGTTATATGTATGTAATTCAACTACAACTTTTCAGGTTTGATTGTACTGCTAATTTTCTGGATGTATTGCTCTTGGATATCTAATGGCTGGCGTGTGGTTTATATGTTTCTCATCCCCGCTTAACTGGCCTAGCCATCTCATTCTTATTAAGTTGTTCGTATTTTATACCTTGAAATATACTTCTAAGTTTCCAGGGTCATCCTACTTGCTTAACTAATAGGGAGAATCATATCCAAATACCTGACAAAAAACTTAGTCCTGGACTAGAACCAATCAATATGGTATAAGTTGATGTTAAAATGAAAAAAATTGACTTTTTTTTTTTGAACGAGACTTGTTATTAATGTTTGTCTGTAAAAAATTTTTTTGTCAAGTACATGAATGTGATTCTTTCTAATTAATATGAAGAATATACCTCTTATATTCATTGATAATATAGAGAATAGATTTAATTTTTAACAATATAATACATTCGATAATATATATGTTGTATATGTATAGTAACTCTGAGACCACGTTCGAATGACAATAAATATATTATATTTATGTCCACGTATAGATTGATAGCAACTAGCAATGTATAATTCTCCCGTGTGAACTTGTGATGTAAAGAATATTTTTGTAGTCCATACTAAAAAAAAAGAACATTTTTGTAATGATTAACATGTTGAATTAAATGTGAAACTCTATAATGACCACTACCTTAAAAAGTAGATGCTTTCGGTATTTATTTGAGCGGAATGTAACTTCGATTTATTATTTTATGAGTGAAAAAAAAATTAAAAGAATCAACGGTAAAATATTACTTTTTAATGGTTATTACGATATGCGCGCGCGCGCACAGTAAACTGATTAAAGAACAGCTAAAAGATCTAATATCTTAATTTAAAATTTTAAAACTCAAGTTTATAAATTTTTTTATTATATATTAATTATCAATTTAATTTTATTTAATATGGAAAACTTTCAAACACTTCACGTAGAGGCTATTACAAAAACAGAGAATAAAGAGAATACGAAAAAGGTGAAAGCCTTATTTGGCCATTATCATCAAGTCATGTGCTTTACCTTTCGCTAAAAACGGAAACACCGGGCCCTTCAGGTCAGGACCTTTAGATTGCGTGTGATCATTTTCTTGGCTTAATTATTGAAAATGCTTTTGGCAAATTACTTTTATTGCATTTCCTGTAAGTTGTAGCTTCACTTTAGAGTGAGTTGTGTTAGTTCTTGCTTCTTCATAGCCATTTTTGCCCAGGCATGCTCTTAGAATGATGTAATAAATTTGCTTTTACTATGTAACCAATAAAATTTGCTTTTATTATTTTTGTCCATGCTCCTTTTGTTACAATATGTTTCTAATCTTTAAGATTAAATTCGATTATAACATGTCGACTTAGAGATCAATTTTGAATGGGAATTAAGGACACTCACACATATTGTGACTGATGTTTATTTTTTTACTCCTCTAATACCATTTATAAGTTCCTTCCAACATATTTTATTTAAATAAAAAAATTAAATTTTAAAACTCATTAAATTTACTTTAAAATTTAATCAGTTATCAACCTTTTCATTATTAAATATACATATTTTAATAATATATTTTCTTTTTTCAATATTAAATGGAGACCAAAAGGTATGTGTTAAGGGAGAAATTTATGTTGAAAATTTAATAAGGTGGCTTATAAATAGGATAGGAAAAAAATTTTCCTTTTCTATCCCATAGATAGAATTAGAGGACGTATTAAATGCCTACAATATATACTAAATTCTAAGCATAGAAGTTTAAAGTGAATATTGGGACAATCCTTTCATTTATGCCGATAATTATTCGTATCTTTTTATATTTCTTACAATTTCATCAATTTTATAAATACTTTATTTTTTTCAAGACTCTTTTCCCACTCTATTTTTGATTAATTTCTTGATAATTTTCTTATTAAATAAACAAGACTAGAAGCAAGCATCATGTCATTGGCATGTGAAAATAAGTTATAGGGTGAGTTAAGCTTTGGCTAAATGGCTTAAGCTTATGTGGCAAGTCAAATGCATGAATCTAATTTGAAGTTTGTATAAGACTTTTTTTGATTGCTTAGGCCTAAAAGGCTAGTTTGACCTAAAAGTCTATTTAAAAACCTGTTTAAAAATAAGTATTTTAAAATTAATTTTAAATATCTAAAATATACTTCAAGACTATTAAAGTTTGTACTTATATAACATGATTTATCAATTTCAATATATAATAATTAAGATGACTTGCCAACTAAAGTAACAACATTAAATTAATATATAAATTCAATCTGATTGAAAACATAACTAAAAATAAAAAATAAATATATTAATTAAAAATAAATAGTGAAGCTAATATGTATGTAATATATTACATAATAATATATATGTAAATGAGTCAGTTTGTAAAGCTTGTAAGCTATAGATCTTGCAAAAATAGTCTGACTTTTTTAACTAAACAAGGTTAATCAAATGCATGAATGTCACTTAGGCCTATTTAATAAATAAGTTAAGTTGGATTTGAAATAAATCATATCACAAACTTTTAATAGGAGCCCAGCCTATTTTCATTCTTAACAGTGACGCATGTAAGTGAGTGGCAGGGGGCACATGTCTCCTTTAACTTGGAGAACATTACATACTAGGCTTTCATCTCCTCCTTTTTATATTTTATGTGCACCTCTCATTTTTAATATTTTAAACTCTAGACCTATTTGAATTTCAAGCTCGATAGATATAAATAAGCCCAGTACAAATGAGCCCAAACTATTTATTTATTCCATAACACTTTCTACACGTGACCAACTTTGTTGTTCGATTGCTAGTGTGCCTACCATAGGTAAATGGAGTTTGATTGGGTTGAATAATGGCCATATATAATTGCTTGTATGATCTCAGTCTATCTGTTTGTGTTCTTCCACATACTTCAACTAGGTAGGGTTTCCATGGGGTAATACCAACTTTTCATGTATGGTTTGTTCCTAATAAGACAAGTATATTAAACAAAGTCCCAAACCAGGTCAAGATAATTACGATCGTTAAATATGTCTATTTTAACTTCCCTTTCGTGTTTATGAATGACAGCTTTCGTAAATATTTAGATGGTATTCACATTTATACATATATTACAAAACTGAATAAATATACTTTCGGTGCATCGGATCGGAGTAGTAGGCTAGTAATGTCCCGTAATTTGCAATGAACATTGTTCCATTATAAACGATCAAATTCGTAGTACTTATCGCATTCTTTTACTATTTATGAAATAGGAATTAAATTAAATCAGAATTATTCACAAAATTATATTGTAAGGAATTACTCGTTCAGTGTTTTTTTTTTTAATTTCTTGATAATCTTTTCAACGAAACTAAATAAATTCAGCGGCAAAACAACATTGATACAGAATAGTCTATATATAGTAGCATTGGGAACGTCAAAATTATTTTCAGACATATGTCACCCTTTCTTTTTTCCCCTCCTTAAAAAACACAATTTACAAGTGGCATGTGACATATAATGCCTGAATTCGCGAGGAGATGTAGCATATGAACACAAACTTTGATGAGAATATTCATAGTTTCCAGAAAGCTATGAAGGTCAAGAGTAGCAATCCTTCATTTTACTGTCACTCTTGGCTGCCACGGTTCTCTAGTTTTGCTCCGACGATTGCTTTCTACTTCATTTCACTGTACCCCGGTTCTGCTGTTCCTGCGTCCGCCAATAAATCAAAGGACGTCCCATGTCCATTTAATTTTCTTTTCTTTTTAACGGAATTACTTCTTGTTGTTATTTTAAGTAAGAGGAACGGAGATGACGATACGCGTACGACAACATACAAGGAACACTTCCTCACAGTAGTCTTTCGTGAAGAGAGATGACGTGACAGTATACTCTGTCTCTGTATCCTCTTGCTCAATTCATTTTTCCATATTCAATATCATCTCCATTTTAATTATTTATTTAATTTAATATAGTAATGTAAGATTACTAATTATGTGATTAAAATAAACATGTTATTCATTATCATCACTTAAATACTTTTAAAAATGAGATCTTAAAGTTTCTTTATAGTAATTACTAAATGAATGGGAAAATGAAGCTTTCAGAGTATATGGATTCCTTTCCCTTTCCTTATATTATATTGTCCTGAGAAACATTGAAGCTCTGCCCAGGACTCTCGCAAACTTACTTAGACAGGTAACGATATTTTCTTAACCATCTCTGAATTTTATGATTCAATCTGTTGTTGTTGTTGTAAAATAAACATTCTGATTCATAATTTAAATTGCATTTCAACAAATTTGAACCAAACTTCCTGACTCAACCCAATGGAAATAGGGAAAAAATAAATTTAAAGGGTTTTCAATGAAAGCTTGGCGTGTATTTGTGATGGTTTTTGTAAAAATCTGTGTTTATATATATGCCATATTTTCATTAAAAATGTCGTATGATAAACACTTGAATAGAAACGAAAGTGAAATTAAAGAGCAGTTATTGTCATCAACAAATTAAAGTAAGGCCTGATATTTGTTGTCACCTTTTGTTTCGTTAATCATTTTCAATTTGTTGACCTTTTTCAGTGGATGGAGCTTGTTCAGAATTCAATGTGATGAGAGTGCTTGAAGACTTGGCAAGAACACAGGCTTTTCAGATGTGAAAAAATGCTCAGATGCATGTGATTTGTGAAATTTTGTTTACTGTAAATGTAAAAGGAAAATTTTAAAAGATAAATGACAGGGGTTGAACAAATATGGGAAGAAGCATTGTTTTTCCTTGCTATTCAACATCGTGACGATTTCAATGTCCAAGTTCTATTATTTTTATTATTTGATTTAGCAAAATTTTGGTAATTAACTAATTGTGTATACTATAATACGCTACTGACAATATATCTTGATACATTTGATTAGAAATAATCGACTTTTCTTATGTTTATGGTTGGTGAAGTATAATATATGTCTATTATTGTGCATATATAGTTCTTTAATTGAGGAAAAAAAATTTATATTCATATATTTCAAGCAACTGTTGTCCACACACTTGAAACGATAACAAGTGTCTATTTGTATTAATAAATATGATTTCAAGTGTGTGTGTGTGTGTGTGTATTAAGAAAGGTAATCTGAAAATGTCCCAAATGATATATTATTATGATTATGCATAGGTGAATGTTGAACTTAAAAAGGCTTA